GGACTATGTTGACATGGCAAAGAGCATGAAGAAATACTTTTACTCATGTCAATCATCATAAGCTTTCAGACTGAGCAGAGGGGGTGTCACCCTTAAATATGCATGAGGATTGTGTCACTTTAAGAGTATAAGAGTCACGTTTCTCCTGCCCCCCCCCCCCACTTACTCAGGGTGCCCAGCACAGTCAAAAAGCATAAGCCAGTCTGAGCCGGTTTCCAACCTCAGGATATGGAATTATCTCTTAATATGTAGCCGTTAGTGGTCAGGACGTCACACATGAAAAAAGGGAGGGGGGATGAAGGAGAATGCAAGAGAGAGTGGGGGGGGAGACACCCCTGTGGGGCCGGGGGGGCAGGGAATCTACTTACAAGAATTGAGCTAAATCTGAACCTGGCACTTTTACAAAAAAGGCTCATTGCAGAACTTCAGACCAAAGGGTGGGGCGTACGATGTTTGGAAAGGGGGGGGGGGGGGGGGTGAAGCTGGAACTTGAACCATCTGGTGAAGCTGAGGTAGCAAAGATTTGTGTGTGTTAGAAGGGGTGGGGGGGGTGGAATCAGCATCTCAAATATGAAAATAGAACAGAAAGGATCTGACGCTGAACGAGAGTCACGTTACGGCGTCGGCGTCCTGCACTGCGGCGGCCTGAGGCTGCCCGGCTCCCGGGAGGAGTCCACAAAGCGCACAGAACTCTCCAAGCTTGGTGGAGAAACAAGCCTCACCGTGGATGTTCTCAAAATCATCAGATGTTCAATATTCGGTAAGGTGAAGGAGAAACGGTACAGATCTAGGATAACGAGGCAGGGAGGAAGACTGTCAAACACACTGCGTCCCTTGGGAAAGTGGTGAAGGTGGAGGCAGTGAGAGTGGTCAGGCAAGGTTCGAAGAGATTATATGGTATGTGTGACACATAGAGGGTCCGCAGCACAGGTAAGTGACACAGATGACATATCGGTGAGAACTTTCTCCTCCAGCGCAAGTGTTAAGGAACACCATGCGGCAAATACACTCCATCAAGAACGAAACTCAGTGTATCCCGATAACTTCATTACAGCACAGGGGCACAAAGAGGTCAATGGTATTTCTTGCACTGTGACCCTTACAGTACATTGACTTTCCCAGCTGAAGCTTGAGATTACAGCCCATCTTAGGGGGCACACTATCATTTGGGGATATGGATGGATGGTCCAGATGTTGTTTACGGGCACTAAAGAGCTCAGCCGGCCTCAGGTAAACAGACCACAGAGCTACACACCGCTATCGATAGATGGATTAGATTGATGGACCCATGGGGATATTCAACAGAGTAAGGGGAGGCTCCACATTCCCTGACCAGGGATCGAACCCGGGCTGCAGCAGTGAGAAGCACCGAATTCCGACCACTAGACCACCAAGAAACCGTAAGGAAGGTGCTTCATTAAGACCCGTGACAAGCACTGCCACCTTGATCAACACACTTCCTAATACAAATGTCCCTGTATACGTCACTAGAAGCCATCAAAACCAGGCAGCAGGAAAGGTGCCTCTGTACCAAGCTGCCATACACCGTACATGGAAGTCGGATGTCAACTCAAGAGCAAAACGTGACATTCTATTCTTTAACATGTCAAAGTTTCCTGCCTGTCTTGCGTGTCATGGACTGAAAGCAGGATTCACAGTGACTGACAGTTACATCGCATCAGACCATGCAGATCCTCAGGTAACCACAAACCTCTTATCAAAACATTCAGGAGCGGCTGGGAGGAGGGGGGAATCTAATGCTAGCAAAATGCTTTTCTGGATCTAATGGTGAGATTTTTACCATTGAGTGTAATAGATAACAGTGTATCATACATCAAGTGGTTTTTGGCACGCCAGCAGTATGGTGATACATAAACAGTTGTTTAAATAATGAACATGACTAACTGATATGCTATTATTGTACATTTAGTTTGCATTAAATGCATTCAATCTTTATGGATGAAGTGAAAGTATGAGTTAAGCATGAATTTGGTGTAGTGTTTGGTTATATCAAAATAATAGTCCAAAATCATTTAAATGTTACCTTTAAATATAAATTCTGCACCTGCCGGTGTAAATGTATCAAAACCCACCAGCCCAGACTCACACTGAATACCAAACAGTATCTTCAAGCGAGCTTTGGAATGCATGCCTTTAATTGGCCATCTGACCAGATACAAAGTGTCCTAGTCTGTATTCGTCACAAAAAAAGTGACTTTACATATCATCATGAGGATGACTTACCAGAAGGGGATGGAAGGATTGTTCATACTGAAATTGATAAAAGACCAAATGATTTAGTTCATCAGCACAAAAAAAAAGCCTGAGGATGGAGGGAAAAAAGAACGAAAAAAAAAAACATGGAGATGAAACTGCAAACTGAACGAAGCAGGAAAACCCATAAACATACACTAGCCCGGGAAAAAAAATATATCAAAACTTATCTGAAAAAGATGTTACAGAAAAACCTAACTGGATTTCATTTTCCAAATAACTTGCATAAGAACTCAATACATTGAGACTGGACCAAATCTAATTAAATTTAGAATATAGTATTTCAGAATGTGATTTTTTTTTTCTTCCGTCATCAGGATTTAAATGCAAAAACAGATCTCATCTTCCAGAATATATGTGAGCCAGCTCATAAACAGCAAAGTGCCAAGTGCATGAATAACATCTGGAGAAAAATAGGGATGTTTTAATAAATAAAAAATTTAAAAAAAAACATTATATACTCATTAAAAATCTCCCTTCATTATTAAGGTATATCTCAACAACAACGGTCTGCGAACATAAGAAAAACAAGAATTATGTGGTTTGGTTTGTTTCCATTTTATAAGATCTCATCTTATGAAATGGAAAAATCTTATCACCAAATAAAAGCACTCACCAGCATTGTACAACAGAGCTTGTACATTTCCTCAAAATGTGAAATTTCATTTTTAAAAATCCAGGCAATTCCAATTACAATGGTTTTCCATCCAAAAAAGGCGATGATTTCTTTTGTGAACGTAAAGGCCCCACGAGGGAAGAGGCCCAATACGTGGTGGAAGTCAGATGTCACTATTCACACTACAACAGCATTACTAAAATTTCAAACTCATTACTGCTGCTAGGCTTTGCACTACTACAGCTGTGCACTAACAAAACCATATACTATCGATATACTCCACAGGAATCAGTATCCTACTCTGCTCATATTTATCCTTTGTTCTACTACAGTTCTGCTCCAATCTTAGGTATATATCTTCATTATTTAATGGTAAAAGTCAACCTTCTCTACACACACACACACACACACATATTTGTATCTTTGTGGGGACTCTCCATTCAATTGTATAGGCATAATTCCCACAATGACAACCGTAATCCCTACGCAGTGCTACCCTTAACCACAGGTAACCAAACAAAATACACTTTTTTTCGTTTCTCTAATGGATTTTTAGAAAATTGAATTTCCCCTTGTGGGGACCGAAAAAATGTCCCTACAAAGTAACAAGATACAGGTTTTTAATCACACTGTGGGGAAACCCCATCCCCACAATGCAATAATCACAAACACACACACATACAGACAGAGAGAGAGAGAGACAGAGAGAGACAGAGAGAGAGACAGAGAGAGACAGAGAGAGAGGTTTGTAATTATATCTTTGTGGAGACCCCCCATTAATTTCTATGGGGAAAACTCTAATCACAATATGACCTTAAACCCCACCCAGCTCTAACCTTAACCATAAGTAACCAAACACAATATAAGACTTTCAGCATTTTTAGTTTTTTGACTGCATTCACAGATCTTTGTGGGGAGCTGAAAAACAGTCCCCACAACATCAAAATAACAGGTTTTTAATCACATTGTGAGGAACATTTGGTCCCCACAATGTAATATAAACATAATCCACACATGCTCATGGCATTTACCATCTGGCCCAACTGTAAAGCAAACGAGGGAATACAACCAGTGAAGGAAAAGGAGGAGGTGAAGAAGGAAAGTTACCCAAAGGCAGCACGTAGGAGAGCAGAGCATACTGTAAGATCTGACCTCCTGCCTCAACTTACACTACTCAATCACTAACAAAGGATGCGATATATTCATACTTTTAATACCTGTAATTCGGCTTAGAATTGGCATCTATGTGACAGTCTTTAAGACTTTCCAACAAATTACTGACAAGGGAATATAAAGGAAAAGCAAAGAAAAGTCAAGAACTTTGAGGGAGTCTCTGCAGAACCGTAGGAAATTGTATTCTATAACAGCTTCACATCTGTCCCAAAGTTAGCTAAACCTCAGGTCTAAAAGGACCCTGGTCCTCCCAGTTCATGTAGGAACCATTTAGCCACAAATGGAAGTACAGTTCTAAAAATGTTTGTCCTTGGGTATAATTTCTGTATACCTGCTGTGTGCGCATAGTTGAATTTAATAAAAATAGCTGCTGTGTTCCAGGTCCAAAAATAAAATTTCAAACTGCAACTTTTATCATATATCATACAGCTCTACTTTAGGTTATCTTCAGAGTGCATTAAATATTTATTTGTATTTACTGAAAACAGAGTCGCTGTTAATGTAGGTCTATTTCATAAAATTTTCATCACTGAAAACAAAACAACAGCACACAATAAGCCAAAACGGTGAACTATATACATTTTAAAATTAAAATACAACTAATACAGCTTTTGGTGCCCACTATTTCTGCATTGTTCTGAAACGTCTGCACTGATGAGTTGCATATCTAATAACAGCTGGACGTTACGTTATTTACTATTGTCTTGCCGAACAGGGTGGAAAGGGGGAAAATATAATGCAAAAATGTCGATCAAGTGAATCCAGTCCTTCTGAACTATTCAGCTTTATTTGAGGTTACGCGTTAGTTGCAAACTACTGGATTCTGCATATGAATAATACAAAAGCCAGTGCTTTAGGCATTGCATGTCAATGGTCGCCATTTGCGTGCACACGAAACAAGTTCAGAGAGAGAGAGAGAGAACACGTCTCCACTTACGTAAATGGCTGAAGCATTTTTTTAATTGTACAACCATCAGTTCCTCCGGAGGTATACACTTGGCGCTCTCGGTTACATTTTTTAACCTAAAATTTAATTCCCCGCTGCGATCGTTATCAGCCAGATTCGCTCCTTTGAGTTGAAGTGTCAGTATTAGGATCGATTAAAGCTATAATATTCGTGCACGTTTCGGGTTCACATCGTGCCCTCTATGCCGCTACTGTACTCACGCAACCGGGGAGACGCAGGGCTTTCTCGGCCAATGTGAGTTAACCCCTAGAGACTCGAGATGAAACAATGAAACCGATTCCGCTCCGTAAATGTAACTATTTTCATTCTATTCGCAGATCTTCTTACCCCGTGGTGAAACATGTGTCTCGAGATTGGACACATTAGTGCATTTCTGCGTTTAACTAACGGACTTCATGTGCGGGGATTTTATCCCCATTTTTTCCCCTTACTTTAAAACGGGGTAGTTGATGCAGCGTCGCAGGCTATCGGCACAACTGACTGACTCTGCACCATAATTTTCTCCTCGTATGTAATCGGCCAGTCTCATCCACGCACATGCGGCCGTAGCCGGGAGCTGCCGATCACATCGAATCGGGCTGTTAAACTTGGCGAGCGAACGGTGCCTAATTTTGTCGGCGAACAGGCCCTGCCGAAAACCTCGGACTCACCTGACTCTGGTTAACCCCGCAGGTTCCACCGACTCCGGGCTCGCTCTCCGATCGTGAACCGCTGCAGCAGATCCTCACGACCAGTCCCCGGCACCGGCAGGCAACACAAAGGCGCTGATTGGGCCTCGACGAGCGCTCATCCCACTCGGTGGCTGCACAGACAGGCGGGTTATTGGTCGGCGGCTGTGTCGGAGACGCGCCCCTATTAAGGTGTGTGTTGTTGTCTGTGTCTGGAGGGGAGGGGACAAGAAGCGGTAAAATGATGGGAATTAAATGGGTTGTTATGCCCGTCGTGTCGGCAGCATAAGCTTACCATGACAGATAAATTGCGGACAGCCATGTTTACTCTCCCCCTCCTCTTGCCTGGCCTATTGATCGGATTCCATTACAATGCTTCGGTCCACTGTTGCCCAAAACGAACTTTTCTGGACCCCCAAACTGTAAAATTTCGAAAGTATTGTTTGACTTTCGACTAGTACTGCTTGGTACTTTTATGTTTCAGAAAGCTTTAAATTCGTAACTTGTTTCGAAATAATGACAGTGATGGTTACGACGCGCAGAGGATGGTATATAATACATACGTAATAAGGATTAAGCAGCATAAACTTTGCCGGTATTTAACGTATATCTTAGGAAAGTATACAAAACGATGGACATTCATTTACTTTGTTAGGATGACATATAGCGTCAAAAAGTAAAGGCTCGGTCAAAATTAACCGTTACTGACCGTGGTCCATTTCAGTCATAACAATTCATTTGAAAATGATCATAATTCACAAGGTGACAATTCGCTGTCATTTTTCTTGAACGCACCATGTTTCGCAAATGTATTTGTTGATTACATATAAATAGGCCTATTTACGGTAACTGTATGTGTACACACACACACACACACACACGTTACACTTAGCTAATCAGTGGATTATTTTGACTACGGTCGGCCGCTGTATTATATTGGTAACTCAAGGGCATTATTGTAATGCGATAAGCGAGTATTTCCATCGGCATGTAGTTCCTACTCCCACTGACAGACGACCGGCCTGTACCTCATCATAGCCTATAGTCCGTTTTTAAACACGGCCAACTTTCCGTAGGAATTTCGCTGCACTCTTAACCTTGTATTTTACCTCTGAAAAGGTTTCACGGCTGTTGCAGCACTTACACATATAATCCCGATTCACTTGCTTATTTTCTTACTACGTACTGGACGTACACATTCCAAGATTTCTGTTTGGAAAACATACCGTGAAAAAAGAAATGAGGAAAGCAACATATACGCTTAATTTATACACTTACACAGGAGTATAAAAGCGGGCACGCGTAAAATATTAACGATTAAAAAGAAAAAGCTTTTGTCTTCGTATTGTGTATCATGCCCTCTAATGGTCATCTGGAGGCGTTGCGCTCTTTGATCGGCCGCTTAGGGGCCGGTTCGCGCTCATTAGTGTAACATAGGGTTAATCCTGGTGGAATAGTGCGTATTGAATTCCGTTGCGGGATTTCCGACCGACCAGCTTTGAAAATGACTGCACGATGCCACGGTGTTACTGTGCATCTAAGATGTCCGATAGTCACCACCAAGGATCGGCTGAAGGAGGGACGGCAATGGGAACGAACTCTTAAGGGCTCATCACATGATGTAGCGACATGTCGCGCAATAAACTTGTATTTTGCATTAAAATGGTGACAACACTAATTTGCATCACTATTTAAAACCGTTTCTCACCTAGTAAGGGCATAAGGCTTTGATCTGAAAAAGGTTCACCACAATGTCAACACATGGGCGGGAAGTGTTTTTTGTTATAACAAAACAGCTTCAATCATTTTGACAGTGGATATGAGTAACCAGTTTATATAACCAACTATAAATGGTACTACATAAGAAAAATGAAAAAAAACTTGCTACACTGTTTTCAGAAGTTTATTTAAGTTACAGCGATAATCTTATGCAAGAGTTAGATTAAAATAGCAAGACAGAAAATATTTACATTATGCCATCTTAAGATTTTATGGCCAAACAAACTCAGGTTAAATAGGTCCATGTATATAGTTCCCCCCCCCCATCAGCTCCCCTCATGGTCCAAGCCAAAGGTTTCCCATTTGTGCTGATTTCTGCCCAACAGTTTTAGATCCAACAGAAGCCACAATCGAAGGAAGTCGCCATTCACAGCTATCATTTCCTTTAACACAGCGAAACAGAAAAATCTGATGACCAACTGAACATGTCAAAAATAAATCAGGAGTATAGGGACCAAGATTAAAACAGCAAATAGGTTTGCCCACTGAAGCCACGGACAAACGAATCTTACTGGATTGTACATAATACATGCCATTTGGAGTGCTTCAATTCAAGCCATATCGTAACATAACGCATGCGAAGTCTGGGGATTAAAATGCACTGCCAAATTAAAATGAAAACTGAAAATTCACTATTCAGCAAAGCCTGAGTATTAAGTACTATAAAACACAAACATCACTTAGTAAGGCAAACAGTAACGATTTAATGTATCAAAAAAATTTGAATTATGGGACGGTGAAATCGTATTTATATAGCTCCTTAGAGAAAAATTATTTTTTTGCCCAAAATATTGAATTTTCTACTACTTAAAATATTTAATATTTTAAATACCTTAAAAAACCAGACCTCACCCCTAAATATGGCTTGCATTCCTGTTAAATGACAGTGAAACATGATCGGAAAAAATTAGACACCTCATTTCAAACAGGGTGTGGTGCAGTAATCAGTGTTACAGTTTTATATTGCTTTTTTTTTTTTTTAAATGACTTGGCATCACCATCCCTCTCGTGCGATGGCCTTGCCTTACTGGTTAGTACTTCCCTTCCCCAGAATTGTTCATCTAAGTGCACTTTTCAGCAGACCAGGCTTGTTCTGCCTAGGGATTGTTTGTATACTGTTTCCGGCCATTTTCATTTCTCTGCCCCATACAACAATGAATGACCTTTATTTACACCCCCCTCCCCAAAAAATAGCAATGGGGAGGGATTAACTATGGGGCACTTGGCACATGAAGGTGTGCCATACACCAGAGTATTATAAGCCTGGTAGCCCCACCCCACGGTAAATGTACTGTAAATCTCCGCATAAAGTCCATGTTTCTCAACTTTCAGTTTCAAATATCAGCTGCAATAAGTGGCTGATTATTGCATTAGATTATAGTGTTGTGCTTATACATACATTTAGGAGTACGCATTTATATATTTGTAAATTAAATATGAAAGATAATGAATTCCCCAAGTAAATCCTGTCAACACCAATAACCGTTCTGTGCTCACAGATATCGGCAGTGTGTCTCTGTGGATATACGCTGCTCATTTCTTGAAGAACTTCTTGTTGAGGAGGAAGATGAGCAGATTCACGTTGACTTTGGCCTTGTCAAACATCTTCATCACGGCAACCCCCTCGTACTGCAGCTGCAGCAGGTCCTAGACAGACATGGACAATCGCAGGTGCCGTGTACGACCGCATGAACAGGATGAGGTGGAGGGAATGACGAAAATGGGCTGATCTTCACCAGCTGATTGTGTCTCTGTGAAATGGCTTTTTTTTTTTTGTTTTGTTTTGAGACTGAATTCACTTTCATTATCCCTTCAGCAGCCTAAAGAAAAGTCCCATCCACTGAAGCAGAGGAAGCTGCAATCGAGCGTGTGCTGCTTCAGGGAGCCAAAGAGGGCGTGCTGTTCACACCACAGCTTTTCATACACTGCCTTGATTTCCACCTTATTTGTGCATGTGGAAGAAAACACACACTAGAACAGGAGGTGGGAAAAGTTCAAAGTAAAGGAACTCCACCTAGTCACCATTTCACCGAGACACATGGGGCCAGATTCTCCCTCCCAGGAGTGTTAAGCATTTTTCTGATAAAATATGACGACGCTGGCATGACTTCAAATAATTAGCATTTTGGCAAAAGGGACTGTGCTTGAATTCTGCCATCTGGTGCTTGCTCACCTGGTACTTGAGGGGGAATTTCTCCATGTCTACTCCCATGAAGCGGGCCTTCACTAGGAACGTGCCGCCCTCTTCGCTGGGCACGATGTCGAAGATCACGTTCTTGAATCTGAAAACGATCGGATCGGAAATTTCGGGTATATTAAACCTGCCAAGCATGCATGGAGGGGATATTTTATCATGACCTAGGGAAGTGGCACGTCAGCATCGCTCTGCCTTGAGGGGCCTGGGGGCATCTACAGCCTGACATGTACGGTGGCGGGCGTTGGGGCCTGCACTGACTGTGTGGCTGGCAGGTCCTCGATCTCCAGAAGCACGCCCTTCTCGTGGAGTCTGGAGGCGGTGTAGGTAAGGGCTGAGAGCTTGCTCTTTTTCCCGCCAGCCTTACTAAAGGATGACAGATAAGGGGACGGCCATTAGCGCGAGGCTGGAACCCCGGCGCGAGCCGAGGACGACGTGCCCGGGACCCCCAGCTGCACCTGCTCTTGGAAGTGAGGTTGTCCAGGCAGGTGGCGATGTACTGGCTGTAGTAATCCACCTGCTCGCTGTGGAAGGAGCTCTTACAGTGCAGGCTATGCAGCGTCTGCCGCAGCTTCACCAGCTCGGCCTGCCTCCGCTGGCGATACAGCCGCTGGTGCCGTATGTCCTGGAAGAGAGCGGTGGGGAGACTCAGCGCTGGGCTCACGGGAGGCTCTCGTCGCTCGGATACCCAGCCGGCTCCCACGGGGCAAGCGGCCGCGATTCAGTTTCATATGGGAAAACCGTTGACCAGAAAAACCGAAGTGTTCATTTCCATTCAATATACTCGGTGGTTATTCTAGGAACACTAATCGATTACAGTCTTTTTAGGGCTCTGGAATAAATTGTATTCTAAAACTGAGTTTACATATTTTTCCCCCTCTCAGAAAATAAAATAGCACTTTGTCTTGCTTGTAGAGGTGGGCCAACTTAAACGCATTGTAACTGATTGATACACGTTGTTAAAGAGCTGTGGAGATTCAGTACTGCGAACTGCCTCATACGGAGGTCAAAATGTGGGCCACCTTGCTCTTCAGCTGTGTGTGTGTGTGTGTGTGTGTGTGTGTGTGTGTCACCTTGGCGATGAGCTGCAGGATCTGGGCCTCTGCATCTGGGGGGGTCAGCACACCCAGCGCCTCGAGTCTCCTGAGACAGCGAAGGATCTTCCTCTTTTTCTCCTCCAGGGACAGGTTGCCGTCGGCGATGAGGGACTGGTTCCTCTTCATCTTCTCTGGGGTGTGGGCTTCGCGCTGCGCTCGTCGCTGCATCATCCAGCAATGCTGCGCCTCCTGAGGGCAGGGGAAGGGGGGGGGGGGGGGAGTACGTGCGGTGAGAGGAAAACCAGGGGGGCACAACTCAGGATGATGGGAGCAAACGTACCTGGTCCTCCGATATGGAGGCTCTGAGCACGTCGCTCAGTGTCTCTCCAGGCTGAGAGCGGATCACGTCAATGATCAGCTGCTTGGTGCTGTAACAGAACACAGGACCATCATTCCTCAGGCCGTCCTCTAGACCACTGTTTCCCGATCTGGTCCTCAAGGATCCACACAGTCCACTGTCTGGCAGGAGCTCAGGAGTAGTAAAAACTTAGACCAACTCTGGGTCCCAAAGGACCAGATTGGGTAATACTACTCTAGACAGATCTCTGTACTAACCCAACTCATAAGCTAGTTTAACAGAGGTTACCATAACTGGCAGAAATCACCTCACCTAAGCAGGATTCCCCTTGCATCAGGTCGCTCGTCAGAGTTACGGAAGATGTCGAACTTGCTGGTGAGGGTGAGGGAAACTTCCATCTTGCTGTACTGAGCCAAGATTTGTTCTGTGTTTGGATCCCCAGAGCTGACCACACCCTCCCCTGTCACAACATGCACATATCAGAATGCCATACTTTAGTCCATGTCATTAGCTTGCATAACTACTGCTTGTGTAACATCTTCAGTCAAGGGGTCTTTAATTGGCTTAACCCTTTTAAAAATTGCGAACACCTTTGTCAGACGATGGTACATTTGTCCTGTAGAAACCTTTCACTAAATGGAAATCTATCAAGGAACAAGGCCAACTGTATTATAAACTTGTGTGCTCATGTTCATGTCTATTCAATAAACATCCCCCTATTTAGTAATGGACCATTAAAAACCACAAACAAGAGAATCTGCAGAGAATAATAGCAAAGACAAGCCTTAATGGTGCGTTAGACTAGGCTTACCCACGAGAGCCTGGACAGAAGGTACTGTCCCAAGGTCCTTCAGCAGCTCCAAGAGGGGATCAGAGGGGTCCGAACACAGGGACTCCTGGTGCTCCAGCAACAGCTACACACAGAAACACTACCGTGTAACAAACGGCTGTGCAGCCCTTCAGATACACGAGGATGCAGATACAGACCTTGTGGGTGTTTATGAGCTCGCTGATGGAGATGTAGACGAGGGGCTTGTTGAGGATAACCATCTCAGAGTACTCGTCCATGTTGAACCGCTCCTCGGGCTCTGGGACGTCACAAGCAGCACGCAGGAACTTGCTGTGACAAACACATACAAACGGGTTTGTATTTATATCTTTTGTGGGGACCATCCATTCATTTCTATAGGCAAAACCCTAATACCAATTATAACAACCTTAGCCCCAACCCAGTCCTACCCTTATTAACCATAAATAACCAAACAAAATGCCATCTTTAGTTTTTTTGTTTGTAGCTACAGATTTTTATAATATTGACTTTCACCTTGTGGGAAAAATTGTGGGGTATAAAACAGGTTTTTATCACATAGGGGGGGAAATCTGGTCTCCACCATGTAATAATTACACACACACACACACACACACACAGTACTGAAGACTGCAGCCCTCTTATAGCTGTGACTCTGCATGCTCTTCATTAATAAAATGGTCCATTCTGTGCTTGCACTGTGCAGTTAGGGTCTCCAAATCAAACTGCTAGCTGCCACAATCCATACAGTCACCTTAATGGTCACCCGTTACTGGATTCCATGCTTTCGAGATTTCCAGGAAGCGTACATCACTCATACAACACGTTAACGAGCATTGTGGGGTATTACCAGTATGCCATTTAGACTGCTATATTTCCCCACAGAGATTTCCGAAAGCATAAGACAAACCCATTGAGCATAGCTAGTGTATTAAACCTGATGCAAATGTGGATTGGTGGTCACAAATCACTGCAGTCTGTAGTAACAGGGTGATTTTCTTTCCTCATCCTGTTTTTGTTTAAGTCTGAGACAGAGCAGCAGGGAGGCTCAGTGGGTAGAATTGTTGCCTCACACCTGCAGGCTGGGGGTGGGGGGGGCTGAATCTCGCCTTTGCTGTGTGTGTGTGTGTGTGTGTGGTGTACGCAGGTTACATGGTCCTCCTGCAATCCAAAGATATCTCTAAATTGTAACGCGTGTGCCATGCGATAGACTGGCATCCCATCCGGGGTGTAACCCAGCTTGTTCCCTATGCTGTCTGGGATGGGCTCCAGGTCCCAATCCCCTCCCCCGCCACTGCGACATACGGCAGCCCCCTCACCTGAACCTGGCGTGCGTGACGCTGATGTAGTCGTTGAGGGCCCGCAGATGAGCGCTGTCGCCCTGGAAGTGCTTGTTGGCAGCGGCGTGCTGCAGGACGCGGGCAATAGAGCCCAGGGTGCGGCGCTGGTCGGGCAGCAGGCAGGAGCCGGCGGAGAACTCCAGCACGTCAAAGCCGTCGGGGGCCACCACGGCCGGGTTCATGTAGCGATAGTACAGCAGGTTTCCCACAATCTGCGGGGCCAGGTGGCAGAGACGGCACTCTGAACATTACGGCTCTCCGGCTTCGCCGGGGATTACACAGGCTTCACAGACTTAGATTTCAACCAAATTAAATGAGGGGGAAAAAAATTAAAAATTAAAATTGCACAGCTCTGCTGAACCTACTTCAACTGATGAACACTCCACTTGGTATGTTTGTTACACCACACTCACTTTGGTAATACCCTCTTGATTCCTCCTTCTCGGGTCCCACATTATCAATTACTTACTCTTCATTAAAAAAAATTAAATTCTATGACTGCAACAAAAGAGCTATCACTAAATTCAAAAACGCACCAATATTTATTGTGGATATGTAAAGATTTCATGTAATTGATTCTCTTAATTCTGTGAGACGAAAATTATTTTAAAGTATAGCCCAGTATTTAAGTGGTAAAAGAGTATTGAGTGTTTAATAAAATAAACCAGAAGACCTCATTTCACAGGGCCACCACATTGGTTTAAGCAGTGGCACAGAAAATGTCATTGTTGCCTGGAAATGCAAGGGAAAGGAAGTGATTTTTTCTTTTATTTGAGAATATCTTCTTGTGCTCATTTCCATCACATTCCTTCCAAGCTTGCAACCTAATGCATGTTATACGGAGGACCAGGATTTTTGTGCTTCAAATGCTCCTTCATGCACATTATGCTACTATAACTAATTTTTACATATTTCACTGCACGCAACATCACCCACTTGTCTTTCGGTGGTCAAGAAAAGCAAAAATGTGAGTATGTAACTGTCATGGAGTGTGTTGGTGCAAGGTGCACAAGTGACTGGGATCACTGGAAAGTAGCAGAGAAATTGTTGACAAAGGGGAAAGGGGGGGGGGGGGAGAAAAAGAAAGATAGTCGGTACCTTGTACAGGTCGTCCTTAGTAGCCCGAGGGAACTTCTCCTGCAAAGCCTCCCTGAGGACCTTGGCAGTGTAACGTATTCCATATCTAAGCAGCAGCGGCAGAGGAGAGGGAAGCAAATGGGATTATGCTCCAATGGCACCTCACATCCTCGGAGCCAGAAACAAAGCAGCGGTGGAAAATATACTCTTTTACAAATATACAAAATACAGCCTACATTGCCCTTCCCTTTAGCCTGGTTTAAATGAAACCAGTGCAATTCAATAATAGGGCCAAACTCGGGTGATGTTAACATCAGGTGTAGCATTTTGAAATGGGGTCATTGTGCAGACAGGTGACAGCCGGTGGCAGGGAGGAATCTCTCCTTACGGCAGCTTGTGCAGGTTGGACGTGATGGCGCCGAGCACACGGTCCGTCAGGGTCTTCAGATTGCCGATGGCGATGTCCAGACGTCGCTGCACCTCGGGGTGGCCGAGGGCCTGCTCAGCACTCACCTCATAGGGCAGGGAGCTGCAGGGCATGAAATCCCCCCCCCCAGTTAAATCGGTCACCTTGAGCACTCAAGTAAGAGTTAGGATTAGGTGAGTCACAGATGCAGTTGTCCAAATGCAAGCTCTCTGCTGACCTCTTGTGGCCGGTCTGGGACTCTGTCTGGTTGATCCAGGTCTTGTAGATCTCCACCGGGTCAGTGCGGATGCTGAGGGTCCGATCCTGCAGCACCTCTCGGATTGCGGGCCCCAAGATATCCTTGAGGGCGTTCTGGCCTCGGGCATGGCGATAAAAACTCACAAGCATTTTGATAACTGTGGGGTTCCCCATCACAAGCTCCTGGGGCTGATCCACCTTCATTCTATGGATAGAGGAACAGGAAGGCAGAAGAGGCATGTTCTGCTGTCAGGCTGCCCTACACCACTAGACTGGACTCGTGTATGTGCATTACAGCATTTGTAAGACCAGTAAACTGACTTGATCTCGTGGCGTAGGGCGGCAGTGAAGAGCTGTAAAAGCAGGTAGGCCTCTCTGCAGTCGGAGCCATAGTTGAAGAGAGTGAAGATGACTGTCTCCATGAAGCGGGTTGATTTGTTCTGGGGCATGAGGAAGATCAGCTGGGCCAGGTACAGGGGCTGCGTCTGAGCAAAGGAGGGCAGACGCAGGTCAGATCTCCAAGGCAACAACAGGGAAGAAAAACAGACCACTCCACTGTTTGCAGTTGCAGTAAAAACTGCTTGAGTCACCTAAATATTAACAAGCAGGTTTAAGTGCTACATTAAATCCAGATAATACCAATTTGGCAAGCAACAGGAGAGCACGTCTACCTGCAGCAGGTAGAGGAGATGCTGATAGGCCTCCAGTTTCTCGCGCTTGTCCTTGCTCAGCGATTTCAGGCCCTTCTGTTTATCCAGAGCCATCATGTCTGACAGCTGCTCCTTGTTCTTCTTCGTCAGCTTCTTACAATGGGAAACGACTTCCTGTGTCAGACGAACGACCACATTTAAATCGCCTAGTTCGCGACCTTTGGGGAGGGCATGTCAAATAATGTTTTTTGACCGTGTACAGCCTGGAGTGTGTTTTTTTTTTTTTTTTTAATTAAATGCTGCAGCTACAAAATATGTGAATGAATTACTTGAATGAATGAACCGAATGAATGAACCGAAAGAATACATAATGAATGGCCTATAGTACTCTGTCAGCAGGAACCAAAAGGTCAACACAAGAACTCTCGTAGTATTTTCTGCACTAAATTTTGTCTAAATAATTTAAGCATTCATTTTATAGTAAATGGGAATGACCATTTGCGGTCAAGGGCACGCCTCATGCACGTGTGCAAAGACACAAGTGCTTTGCTTCCCCCGTGATCACGACCTGCAAAGTGACCCGGTTCCGGACCAACAAGCCGATCTTCAGGTCCATCAGGTCCAGGTCGCCCTCCAGCTGCCGGTTGGCACGGATGGTGCGCACCACCTCCTCCCGTAACCGCAACAGCTCCCCCTCCTGGCGGATGTCAGAGTCGCCCAGCTCAAGCAGGTGGGCAAACTTCCTCACCACGGAGAGGGTGGGGGTTTCAGAATGCACTGGGGGGGGGGCGCACAAATGCACATCAGGGAACACGTTCCAATGCTCACACCGGACAGTGAAATCACTATTCACCAAGCAATCACTCACCCAGCATCCTGTAGTCTTCACGAGCCTTATTTGCCCGGAAAAATGCCTGAATCTTCACAATGGCATCCACCTATGGTACAGAAATTAAAAAAAATAATAAAAAAAAACCACCAGCATCAGCAATACATCACACACACACTAAATAAGATTCGGCATACATAACCCCACACTCACATGCTTCCGGAAGTATCTCAGCCGTGCTCTGTACCTCCTACGGGCGAGCCACATTTTCACCCAGGCCTGAATCTACAAGGAAGAGAACCTCAAATCCCTCACATGCCACCTTCACCCCCTACATGCAGCTAGAAAGCCAGGAGATGTGTGGGGCTCCATTCCTACCTTGACGGCAGCCCTCCAGTTCCTGCGCAGGTACTGTAGCCTCTGCCTGTAGGCGCGCTGCTGCCAGAACCTCCTCCAATGGGCCTGAAACGTAGCCAGTCACGTTACAGGAGATAAAAAAACAAGCCAGGCACCCAGCAAGTCACTCTCATGCTCATCCATCTCATGTGAACATCAGGGCTGTGGGAAGGGATTAGACGACGAGGCAGAGAGTCTGTTCACATTGCAGCTCATTAGACGGCTTTAGATTCAGGTGGACCAGCAAGTCGAGAGGTCATGCGAAGAGGAGGAACAATCACCCCTCCATGTTGTAGAGCTCACCTGGATGGTGATGACGGCAGGCAGCTGGGTGCGCAGGAAATGCAGACGGGCCCCCAGCGTCTGCCGCACCAGGAAGCCCCGCATACGGGCCTGCAGCTGCACTAGCAGGGGCTCACTGGCTTTCCACTGCAGCTCGCGGCTGTGGGTCCGCGTCACACTGGACAGAACTGCCTGTGGAGGCGGGGAGACAGCAAGAAAACTCGAACCAAGCAGGGACAAGCGGCTAAAACAAGTTTATAGATATTAACACTCCTACAGCGGCATCATAAAATGTGACCTAGGTCAAAGAACCAGGTTCAGTATTTGATTGTATATGATCCTGGGAAGCAGTATTGTCAGTCTATGCAGCCCCCAGTCATTCATCCATTTTACTGACTGGCTCCAAAACTTAACAGGCTCAGAACTACTATTATACACAGGCAGCACCTCTAAGTGACAGCGCTACAGTTCGCAGGCTAATAGGAGAATGAGGCTCTGAAAACCAAAGGCACTCCTCTCCAATGCAGAATTCCTGAGAATAGAGAGGCTCAAAACCATATTACCACTAGGAAATGCTACCCCTCTATATTTCAGCTGCTGTAAAATTTCTAGATCTTTGAATGCCATGTTCACAACAGACCCCCATGTTTCCCCTGTATCACGACAGCAGACGCCCGATGTTCCTCCCAGCATCATGCAGCATCTGTACGAGACAAATTAAGCCAGCTGCTTGCTGGCAGCCCTGAAGCGCTGAGCAGGGAACACGGCGTCCCCCCCCCGCCCCCCCCCTGCGACACAGGGCCACAGCGTGGAGCCCTGTACTACGGTTACCTGTATCTCAGCATGCACCAGGTACAGGCTGTTGTGCACAAAGCCCTGAGGTCTTTCCCATGTGCCTTCCAGCTTCTGTAGGTGAAAGTAGTACGAGCTGCCATCCGGAAGGCTGTGTCTGACCCAAGGGCTCCTATTGTCACCTAGACACAGGAGAGCCTCTTTAACCAAGTGCTTCCCAATATAGTCCTCAGGGAACTGCAGACAGTCCATGTTTTTGTGGGAGCTGGGAGGGAGCAAAAACGTGGAGCATCTGTGGGTTCCAGAAGGCCAGGTTGGGAGACACTTTACCTCGTTATGCAAAGGATAGTGGGTGTATAGGACAGAGTAACATAGTAGAGGAGCAAGTCAAAGATTCAGAACTAAAAAAAATTAAACAAAATACGTAAACAAGGACTGACTGGCTTCCTCTTGTAAACGATGTCATGTTTGCAAAGCAGATGTTTATGCGTCAACTGTGGAGCAGAAAATTCACATCTTCAGTTGGTGGATTTAACTACTTGGATGGACATCTTGTGGCTACAAAGAGCAGTACTGAACCTATCTGGCAGGCGATGAAGTCTCACCCTCCATTGCTTTGGCCCTCAAAAGGCCAGACAGTTCATCCTGATATGCTGCGGCACATTCAGGGACCACACTCCGCAGCGCCACCTCTGGTAGACGAACGACTCGCAGCGTTTGGGACGCTTTGCCCTCTTTGACTGCCTGGTTGACTGCCGCCAGACCCAACGACACTGAGAAGCACGCAAATATCATTAACGGCCAATGAACTCAGCTGACCTCTGCCACGCCATACAAAAAGGTCAATTGTTTCAGGACACAAGGCTATCAAAACTGGACCAGTGAGATTCTGGGCTGACTTACTCTTCAGCGCTGTCTGTGTGTCCTGATTGGCTCGCCTCACTCCCTCTTGGATGTCAGCCAACCACAGCTCTGCTCCGGGGTCCCTGCTCTCCTGTGGACACAAACAGCCATCAGGAAAAGATGCAAACAATCATTATCCTGACAAATGACAATATCCAGAAGTCACAGGCCGAAGGTCATTAATTAATGCGCTGCGCTTTAAAAAGGACATACATAAATTTATGGGTGCTTCTTCTGCTTTCTGCTACCTTTACGTATTTTCACAGGTCGTTAAAATTATTACGAGAGAACCTTACAAAACAGGTAAATTCAGCCGCACCTCTGCTTTGCGTCGCTTGGCACGACTCAGCACCTCATGGTACCGCCAGGCATTCTGTGGCTGTACCCCCTCCTGGCCACTTGAGGGCAACAGCAACGCAGCCAGGGTGTCCTGGGGGCGGCTGTGACAAAGGGCCTTGTTGATCAGCCCGATGGACAGTATTTCTGTAGAAACAGGGCGGAAAACACACCCAGCATATCACCTTGTAAACAAGAAACACAATTTGTATTTTTAGATTTGTGAGATATGGTTAAAAATTAGTATCATAAACACTGTCTTCAGACAGCAATATAAGAGAGAAGCATCAACCTAGGAGAAGCAGGTATGTTTCAAAGGCACTGGCAGCCCTGTCTGTGCCAAGGCGGCTGCTTACGGTCGTGTTCCTCCTGTGCATCCGCGTTGACGGCGTTCAGCCCCCCCTGCAGCTCGTTCCACGTCAACAAGGCCCTGCCGGCCCGTTTCTTCAGCACACACAGCTGCTCAAAGTATCTAAACAGACACCATCACCACTAAACTAAGTCCAGGTTATAAAACATGTGATCACACACCACGGAGGGAGAGTTTACTGCTGTTTAATTTATTTATGCATGTCAAAGTCAAAATGCCGGAATTTCTCACGCCTCCTCTTACTAATTGGGGAGGCACTTGACCCCACTTTATGGCTGGTGTGAAATGACAGACAAAATTAATTATTCACTGCAGTGTCATTAATAATATATTGGGGGGTGGGGCAGGGAAGCCCAGAGATGACAGCTCACCTCTGGATCAGCCCGTCCTCGATGTCGGCCAGTCCTGCTGCTGGGCTGATGAGTCTGACACAGAAAGCACCAGAATCCTGCACCTCCACGGCCTGGTTTATCAAAGCCACCGCGGACAGCATCTCCACAGCTACGAAGAGCTCCTCCTGCTGCAGCCCCCCCTTCAGGACAAAAATGGACAGAAAAAAAATAAAAATAAACCAAATGATCAAATCTCCCCGCACCCTCAACATATAAAAAGGATACCACCCAATCCATGAGAGACCCTACAAGTGAAACCTAAGAGGTAAACAAATGCTATTTATTCTTTCAGCTGCCGGGAACACAGCATGTAAAAGCATCCTGCAGTGTAGATCTTCCCGGTCTCACTGAGCTGCTAAAAAGCTTTGTAAGTGGATGGGTGCCCGTCATGGGGGCCGGTACCTCAGGGCTCTGTTCCTGCAAGGGCGCCAGCTCTCTCTGGTAGAGCTCAGAAGCGAAGGGGAACACATCCGGGAGCTGGGCATCCGGGTTCATCAAGGCGCGGGTGGTCTGTCGGGGGTCACCTTGCCGCAGGGCCTTGTTAATGGCACTCACTGCCCGCTCCACTGTACGTACACACGCGCACACACAAATGCAGTTTTATGACCAGTACACCAACAAGCCCATATACAAGACACAAAATCAACATTAGTCTGGTGAAATGCATGTTTCACATGTCACACTTAATCATGAATTTGGGAAATAATTCGGTGACATATCAACTGAAAACAGCAGACTAGATGATGTGGGGTCACCACTACATAGCCAGCGGACCTGCTGATGGAGATGCTGGCAGTGCATCTAGAAGCTCATCTAAAGAACAAGCCGCTCACCCGTGTGGGAGCGCTGCGCTTCTTCATTGGCCATAGACACCCCCTCCTGCAGCTCCTCCTGGCCCAGAGGGTCCACAGAGCCCAGGTCCTGTGACAAATTTCATCTTATCTGAATGGAGCTTCTGTTATGGCATCCCGGATATAACAGACTACATTAAGAAGAGGCCAGTGTTCAAGTCACAGGGTCAATACAAGCATTATACTGGGAGAATATCATGGGAGCAAATTCTAATCTTTTTATCACTTAATTCTGTGTACATCCACATATGGACTGTAGGGGGCAGTATTGCTGAGCTGCCCAAGCGATAAGATTTAAGTTAAACGTTAAAGTCTGAACTCCTGGCTTGTGAATGTCAAACAAGTACTGCCGAGTGGTGCCAGGGGTCGCCATAAAATTACTCTCGCTCCCCTGGCCAAGAGTAGAGTTGCTGCCGAGCCTGGCACGGCTTACCAAGGCCTTCTGCTCCCGGTCAGCGGCCAGCTGCTCTAGGTACCAGGCAGCGTTCTCTCGGCGGAGGCCGCGCAAGGCCAGGCAGGGGGCCTGCAGGGCCGAGAGGAGGGCCAGAGCATCACTGCAGTCCAGTGCTTCATCCACGCACTCCAGTGCCGCGCGCACTGCAGGCCGCCAAACACAGACATGCAGTGTTACAGAGGGGAAGGCCAGCAAGGACACGGTACTGCAGTAGCAAAATAGATTAATTAAATACTCATAAAGCTAAAGGCTAGCAGCCTTTATTCCGGTGACGGGAGCCCTTCTGGCCACAGAGAGCTGGCAGACACATTGGCGTGAGCCATTCGGACATACAACACTGCAGGCGAGGTCCGTTTGCCATGAGGTCTCAAGTGTCACGTCAGAGACTAAACCTCAGTCAGAGAAGCGACTCGTCTTACCGATCACATGATTAGCAACTTATTGAAAGAATAGAATAGTAAAGGTGACACAAACAAACTAAGGCAACTGATCTAGTCCCCCTACTGTGTTCATATACCATCTTGTCCTGTGAAGAACCACAAAACTGCCTTCTGCTTAATGCTGGAGGTCAAGACTGTATTGAAGGTACTGTAACACCCCAACACATCACTCAGCAATTCTACTCATGTTGAAGGTTTGTCTTACTGAGAGCAGAATGATGAATTACCTATGTCGATGAATATGCTTCTCCTTCAAATCAATAAAGGTAGCCTCATTTCAGTGCTAAGATTTGTGGCTCTGGGGATCGCTCCTATTGGAGAACAAAGAGCACATTTCTTTGTAGCAGAAGAGAAACTTACCGTTGACTTTGTTGATGTTTTCCTGAATCTCCTTCTGGGCGAGGTACTCCTCATAGATGTCTTTCTCAGAGCCATTCACCTGAAGCCAGAAAGCAAAGTGACAAAGCCAAGTGAATCCCAGTCCCCTGCCTTTGCAGTTTGCAAACACAAGCAAAATATTTTAACAAAAAAAACAAAACTCCCCCCCCGGAGACAGCACATTCTTATCATATCCTACCATTTTGATTAATATGATTTATTTTGCCGTAATACGCACAAAAGCTGACATACCAGATTTCACAATTTGTTAGCGCGTGAGGAAAAAATAGCGATAAAAAAAAAGTTCCTGTTTGAAATAGCCATGACATTTGCAAGGCACGCACTGTTCCGGATTTGTGAAGATTTCATTGGCTCTTTGGTCCAGCACTGAGACACCCTTTTACGTTCATGACAGACGCAAGCAAACCAAATGGCTGAATACTGCTGCAGATGGTGGGACCTCCTCCAAGCCAACCTTGTTTGAGGCGCGGGCGGCCTTCTGAGCCCTGGCCTGGCGCAGCATCTCCTGGTACACGGGCATGAGGTGCTCCTGCAGGTCAGCCAGCATGGCGTTGGGGTTCCGCAAGGCCTGAGCGGTGCCCTCTAAGCAGCCGTGCTCCACGGCCTCATTGATGGCTATCACTGCTGCGTGCACTGGGGGGGGGGGGCGCCTCACTTAGCACAGTACATACAGCTCAACCACTATTAATGCTCATTGTGAATTTATTCGGTCACAAACATACGAGATGCCGTCGAAACGAAGTATCCTCCCACACCCCCCCCACCCCCCCCCACTTCTAGCCCCCTACATTCACCACCCACCTCTCCTTTAGCAAGTCAAAGTCCTACTTCATGCGACTTGTGTCAATGTTCAGATCGGCATTTGTGGCTGTCCTATGATGTGCTACCATTAAGTGACGCCATTTCAATTTTGGTTGTATGCAAATAAAAAAAAAAATTTAAAAAAACTTGGAGTACAACAGAAAAGAAAGAATTCTAAAAAAAAAAAATACATTAAAATTAGAAATCTGCAGTGTCCGTCTCAACATCCATGCTATGTTAATGCACAGGCAGTAGAGCTGAAATCAGCAGGAAACACTAAAACCACGCAAAAGCTGATTTCACTTCGAGTTGGCTGCCTTCAAGTCAGTTAGCCCAGCAATTAGCCTGTGTCACCTCAAACCCTCCACCCTCCAGCCAAGACTGACAATGAGGAAGAGAAGCGAAGCGATTCCCCCTCTGAGTAGGCTGCGCAATGGCTTGCTGCTTCTTCGTTAAAAAAGGGTGGGCAATTTATTTTCACATTTATATGTAGAGAAAACTGACGAAATTTATTATGACTTTTGGTCCCATATATATACATATATGCTATTTTACACACAATTGGAAGCATCACCCTCCTCACCCCATTTAGTTCATTTATGATATACTGTAATAATTAATTTTAACTTAAGACATTTTCCACTCCCTATAGCTGCTGGAATTCCAAAAAACTAGCACATCTTAAAACCAATTCGTAGACAGGTTCCCTCAAACCCCCCCCCCCAAGAGCCATGGGGGCACCTTCGTACCTGCAGCTTCGTCCACCGACAGCTCATTGGCCAGGATCCCCCCGATCTTGCTGAAAGCTGGCATCTGAATGCCATACTTATCCAGCTCCCGCTTCATATTATTGATCTCCTCCTCTGTGAGGCCCACAGAAGAGAGATATCATCGCTCATATTCTGTGACAGCATCTGGCCAAGAACTCTGAACAGCAATTGGCCAAATGTACACAACAACTTTACCTGTAAACTTGACCTTGCCACAAAGGTCATGGATCTGCGGAGCCAAACCCAGTCTGAACAGGTAAAGACTGTAAGACAGACACAAGCATGTCACAGTGAAGCGTGTTCAGAGGTGCCATAGAATGAAAATCTGACTTTACCTCAGCATAGCTTGGTACACGGAACTGACATACCGTGAATATCAAACGCTTATCGCCTCTTCCAAATAGAAATCCCACATAAGTAAAAGGAGGCAAATTGGGGTGATTCAAAAATTATGCGAGTCTCAACTACACCCCCAAACTTAACATACACCAGCCCACTTTCAAGCCCAGCTACACAACCTGCAACATACATTTCCTCTCAAGAAGCATATGTGCAGTTTCCATAAGTGCACTTGGGAAGGAAAAAAAATATATATATATATACACTGACAGTAATAAAGGTTATAGATTACTTGTAAGCTAAGAAGGTAAGGTCTATTCAGGGGGACGTTTCCTAAAAGCTCACATTAGCAACTTATATACTAGGAACCGCTCAGTTGCATGGTGCTAGCTATGCACATTGTTAATGATGCCAACACAAAAGCAACTATGCTTCTGGGAAACATACTCCAGGTTAGCAAGGGAGTAGAAAACAACATTGCAAAGTCTGCAATATTGACAAGAGGCTTCAATATTACCTGTAGCTTACTTTTGGTTAACTAAAATATCGATACTGAACTTAAAAATTTGAAAGCACGAGTCCAAATTCATTAAATAAGGTTTACGAGCTGCTCCACTGTTTGGAGTTCTTGATAAAACTCACATAATGAAGCTAGCATCATAAAATCATTGGTTGACTAAGATGCAAAATATTACAATGTTCTTGTTATAATGCTAAAAACAAAAGTTATGACTATGCTAATGTTGTGCCTACGCTGAAGTGGGAGTATTTCAGTGACGTTTGGCAAAGCAGAAAGACTGCACAGCACAGTATAGTAAGTACATAAACCAGTAGCATACATCACAATCAAGTATTATGTACTGTACATAATCTGTGTACACCAGCATCACTACAAATACATGAGTATTGCGTTGCGCTATGACATCACTGGGCAATAGGAATTTTTCAGCAGTTATACTCTTGGGCTCACCGCTGTAAATGCAGTTGACCGAAACATTGTTACACAGCACAAGACTGAGGCTTTGGAGTCGAGCTCATTTGAAGCTGCCAAGTTAAACGGTTTGTTTCAAATTGAGTTTGGTTGTATATTAATATGTGATGATAATAAATCATCTACCATTAATGAGCCCACCAAAAACAGGAAAATGGCCCATTTCATACAAGGGATAAATGAGGTTGTAAACGGGCCCATAAAACCACTTCTGGGTATTTTTCAGACAAACCAAGTTCACCTGGGAACAATTAAAAATAATGAAAGTGGGGGGGGGGGGGGAATTCTGTGGCACCTTTAACACATACAACCTTAAATAAAATAAAATGTATTTTTTTATAAACCCAGGACTGATCATATGGCACAATGATAATGCATTGCCATATAAACTTCTTGTTACACAAACTGACCTGAGAGCATGGATGCAGTACACGGTCCTCGGCATGTTCTTTTTGTCGTAGATGTCTGTGGTCTCCGGCTGGAAGATCTGACGGAAAACCAAAGGCTGCTGTATTAAAATGGTTCCTTGTAAACTTGAACCAAAACCATTATGACAGAGTTAATCGGTTTGGTACATAGAAGAGCGAAGCCAGATTTCAGCGCTTTCTCTAGGTTGTCTATTTCAATACATATCTGCCGCCTTGTTTGTTCTATGTCACGCCACAACCGTAGAGGGGGGAGAATGTTTTCGATGCAGCAGACCCCCATGCAGAGCACAAATAAACGTATTGCGAGTGCATGAGTCATTTTAATAAAGGAGACTTCAAATGGAAAGTTGCTCTCTTTATCAGCAGCCACTATTGGTTTAATACTAGCAGTTGCTAGCAGAGGGAAGGCAAGAGTTTACATGATACTCACAGTTACACACTAATGAAACATTCCACAGCAAGCATTACAAAGTTACAACATTCACTATTAACAAATATGCACCAATTTAAAATATCTAAAGTGTGGCACGGTGCAAAGCATACAGTTATCTAGATCATTAGTCCTGCTAACCAACCCAGTGACATCACAGTATGTCAGCCAATCGTGGACAGCGGGTGGGATCAAAACAAAAAAAAATTCAGCCAAGGGACCCTGCACAGGCAGTGGGCCGAAACTGCGATGGCAGCAGGGATTATGGCTTATACAACATTGTATAGCCAAAATGACTTAAAATCCCTCGATTTCGTCTGTAGTATAGTCAGCTTAACTTCCAGACTGACTCAATATTGAACAGTTATTTATACGTACCTTAAATCCTAACTGCCAATCACAAGAAACCCACACTACCCGACAATATACAACTACTCACCTTCTCCATGAAAGTTACTACTAGCACATTTCCATAACCTTGTGTAAGCTGGGTGATGTTGAGATATATTATTGTACAATTTATGAGGAGCTGTCTACATACCCTCTCAAGATGACATTCTATGCATTTGCACATCCTAAATGCTAGTTCATACTTCTCTGCACAAGCGCGTATCCTCCAGCGCGTACACGGAATCGTTCAGAGTTCTCAAGTCAAGCCGCGTACTTTACACATGCACACATGGTGTATTTATATTTTTATTAATAATAATAATATAAATTGATATTCCCTGCACACGTACCATAGCAGTTAGGTTTGTGTACGTTTCCCTACGTTTTACAAATTCAGAGAGCCAACTGACAGGATTGCCGCCTTCAGACAGCTGGCTGGGGTGAGATTTTCAATTCGAGAGACGTCTGCACTCACATCCACACGTATTTACATGTATTACCTTGTACATAGTCTGTAGGGTTTGCAAACTACCCCAAAACTCAAAAGCATCCATGTTGGTATTTAAAGTGGACGCTAGCAGATTGATCATGTGCTGTGTCTCCAGAGCTGTGAGTTCACCACTGCGTGGACACAAATTTGGAGTGCAGCATGTGTTCGTCCAGCGCACAATGTCCGCTAGTACGCGTGCGGAGAAGTATGGACCAGCCTTAACTCATCCCTATTTGTAAGGTTTGTGTGTACCTTACAAACGCATCAAGTTTGTATCTGTAACACCATCATCACAAAAACAAAATCCTCACAATGCGTTTGATGAAGAAAAGTGATTCAGATTCTACATTAGCCAATCACTAGCAAGTTACCGTTGGCAAGCCGACTTCCGCCATGGCGCTACGCCAGTAGTTGATATTATCCGTGTGCCGGAACTGCAATCCGTTTGCCTGCATAGTTATTAGAATGGGAAAATATTACATAAAGAACTGACATTAAACAGAACAGGCACACACAAATGAAAACCCATAGGCCTTTGTGCAACTCTGAGGACATAATTCTGACTGAAACGGTTAGAATATAATACATATTAGACATTAGATGGGGGCAATATGATGGGGTAACATTAAACAGAGGAACACTTTAAAGGTAACCACACGCTTGTATGCTGCAAACCTTGTATCTTTCCTGATCCAGGTCATAGATCTTCTTCAGTGGAACTACATTGGAGGCGAAACAATGGCCGAGTTTGGCCAACCAAACACCATTCCTAAGGCCTTCTTCTAGCTCAGTGGGGGCCGGCAGGTCCTCATGGAGGCAGGCCTCCATCCACCTGCCAGGCAGAGAGGAACCAAGCGGTCAAAGGACACTTAAGGCTGAACAACAATGTGGACTTTGATGGCAAAACAATGAGGCAAAGAACCTGCAGTTAGTGTTTGCTAAGCCCATAATTAGGGCTGCATTTAAGCATCTTCGTGATGTTCACAGGCACAACAACAACATCTCATTTGTCAGCCCTGCTTTGTGTCTGTGGACAACTCGAAGCAACACCACCAACTTATTCCACACACTGTTCTTAGATAAGTTCTATTTGGCTATAGTTTATTTGGGTCATTCCAACTGTTTTATAAATAATGCAATATTACTCGCAGAAATCTCACGATGTGAAATTGTGCAGCCCTACCCATAACATATTTTGAAAGGATCAGAGTTACCAACAACATCGTTATGTAGAGCAGTGGTTCTCAACCTTTTTGAGTGATGACCCCCAAGATAAGATTGGTTGGTGTTCACGACCCCCCCCCCCTTATCTAGGTGCAGATGGACACAGCGCTGTCCACTGTGTGGGGGGGGAAAAAAAACCAACTAACACTACTTAAAACTATTTCATCAAAATCCAAATTTTATTTAGTGTCTTTCACAACGATCTGGCGACCTCCATGTTGAGAAAGGCTGGTCTACAGCGTACCTCTTAGCTTCCTCTAGGCGGCACAGGTACTGATAGGCCACGTTCTGGATCCGCTGCTCGTCCATCTCATCCGCAGTCAGGCGCTCGTCTGTATGTGACAGTCACAAGCGTAAGGGCACAGGTACAAACAGGACAGCACAGGTGTAGTTCGAGACATTTTTCTCCCGGTGATCAGCGATACTTACCAGAGCACAGATTACGTTTCATAGCCATAACACTGCTAACTACACTTCCGTGAGTCAAGTTTGACCCCACGCCCATTTGATTACATTATTTGCTCAGTGAAATCAACCTAGTACTAGGCGCAGTAAGCATAAGCCTATTTATTGTAGTAAAAATAGTGAGTCTTCGTAAAGCTTCCATAAGAAAACCACTGAGAGTCTATGAGCTTTAGCTGTCTGTCCTTGGCCATTATGAGTGGTGTGTTTTTAGGTTATTAATGGTTGTTCATGTGTGCCGATTAATGTCTGTGTTTTATATGGAAATCTTGTTTTGATGTGTCTTGGGGGGGGGGGGGGCCACAATCTTGGGGCATTATGTTCAGTTTAGTAACTAACAATGCTGGTTCTGCAGAAAAAAAATGATTCTGAGGATTAGTAGTTACAACAGAGTGTTTTTGTTTTTTGTAAAGTCCATTTTGTTTTAGCTTGAACAACGTGCCTTTCCACAACACAATGGAAATCACATAAAAGTCTATAGTGTTTGAAACTGCATTGTAACACAGAAAAACGGACAAAAACTGCGTATTAACAAAAACAAAGTATACATGGAAATTAGGGGGACATACGTCAAACAAGGTAGCGTATTCTGATGCTGAACTAAAGCGAAGACGAAACAGCTAAACAAAATGAATATCAGCAAAAAAGCAGAAAATAGCAGTTACGGTGTTACTAATAACTGAATAAATAACTAAGCCAATACATAGCTCCTTTAACCCTTTTAAAATACATTAAAAGGCAATAGAATGCACAGACAAAATAACGGTATTGATACAAACAGAAGTAAAATATCACGGCAATTTACGAGCAACCTGGCAAAGCGTTGTCTCGGACATTTTATCCAGTTTCTAAATACTTACAGGCAGAACGCGTCTGTCCTCCCGAATCTCCCATTTTATCTTCACCGTCAAGCAAACCTGGCAATGGTGCTTCCCGTTTTTCAAAATTTCAAAAACGACAGACTCCTGTTTACGTTAATGGTTCCGTCTTGTGACAGATACAACCTTTTATATATAAAGGAACGACTGGACTCTCCTATAGCGGTTTGCCAAAGTCAAACCCACGCAAACCGCACTGCCAACCGCCGCGTAGCTAGTCGTGCTGCAGAGTGAAGCTGTTTACTTTCCCCGAAGTTTGAATATCCCGCCGATTTCCAGTTGGCTGCCTGGCGGCTCCTGGTAGGACCACGTGGGGAAGATGTGCGCGTTGCATTGTGGTATTGGTGTCGTTGTGTGACAGTTAGGTTGCCGAAAGTGTCACAAATCGTAATTACTACTATTATTATTACTATTGTTATTATTGTTATTATTATTATACATTTTACAAATATGTTGCGATTTATTTATGATAAACAGCCTTTCTTTACTTCTTTTTCTTAAAATGAGTATTACGAGTAAATTTGACAACTATTCCAATATAATCGAAGAAACTCAATGAAATATATACAATCAATAATAATGATCATTGTAATTTGAATGGAAGGATGGATGGATGTGCCTCTGTGTGTGTGGGGAGGCGTATTTAGCACGTTGTGGAGTCTTGGAGACCATATAGTAAAACCTGTTACTTTTTACCTTGTGGGCACATTTTCACGTCCCCATAATATAAATCTCAATTTCATGAAAATTTCATGAAAATCTGTGAATGCAATCAAAAATAACATAGCCAAAATTGTGAGGCTACTTATGGTTAAGGTTAAGACTAGGTTAGGGTTGGGGTTATCGTACTTAGCATTAAGGGTTTTACCCATAGAAATCAATTGAGAGTCTCTAATAGGAATATAATATGAACTCTGCGTCTGTGTGTGTCTGTGTGTGCATGTGACGTACTGGCATGTGATGACACGTGATGATAGATTTATTTTATCAGGGTAGAAAAAATCGTTTGTTTGTGTTATATTGTTATATACGAAGGCTGCAGATTTATCACTCGTTTATGCTCAGGTAATTCTCCACATTAAAGGGGCGTGTATTTCAGGGTACCGGGTAGGTGGATTAAGAGGGGGGGGCATGTTAACTAGCGTCCCAGTTGCCTAGCAACGAAGCCGAGGTGAATTCCGTGTACATCTTGAACATGATTCCCATTATGGAGGCAGACGACTGAGCAGTAAACTGAAGTTACCTTATTAACATTAAGATTATTAGTAACGCCACTTTGGAAAACATTGTTCATACCGGGTGTTGTACGCCTAATATTAGCTAGCTGAGTCGAGCAGAGTGGAGAAACTGAGATGGCAGCATTTGAACTACAAGTACAATAGACAATTCGGTAAGTAAATATTTCCCAATCTAAAGCAACTTAGCATCCTGCTTTTAAATGCTTGGATACCGAATTAGAAGAGATAACAGCAAGTTAGCTGCATACCTGATCAAACTGCTAATACAAACGTATAGCTAGATATAACTTTCATGTTATATTGTTCTGAGACCGATAAAATGTTAATAGTCTGTATTGCTTCTGGACAGTGTAGATGTTAATGAATTATGAAAATAACAATGAAGCTCGTAAGGTGGTCCCACTAGAAGGAACTGCGTGACAACTGGACCGCATGCTTCAGCGGAGGTGATTAAAGATTGATAAAGGCAGACGGTACCAACGCAGGGCAACAGATACCGTTTTGGTGTAGGTGAGAAAACATCTGAAGGTCCACAGAGGTTGCAGCTTTGTTCCATCACTGGGAAAAAATGCTGCATTTGAAAAGTTCAGTGTTTGACTTAAATAGAGTTTGTCCTCCCATATTTGTTTTTGGTTTTTTTTGTCTCAGTAGAGCCTTACTTTGTTCCCTAGAGCTAAGCAGCTGAAATATGCAGTTTTCATGTTAAATATATTAAAAGCATTTAAATAAATCTAAGTGTCAATCGAAGGACAATTTCCAAAACTCATTCACACCTTTTTTTTTTTTTTTTTTTCTTTTTTGTAATTCAACAATGAATTTCCAAGACTATCCAGAAGTCCAAACAAATGTTCTCAAAAATGTATCCCATGGACTGAGTGAGTTTTGGAAGTTTTCTCTTCATTGTACAAGTATAATTATGGGCTTCATCAGGGCCGGAGTGGGACTGTCTTTAAGCCGTGGGGTGATGTGACACATCGGAGAATGGGGGGGGGGGGGTGTTCTCCATGATGACGGCAGCGGTCGACCCGGGTAGTCATGGCCCCACCCAGAGAGAACTCAGGTCACCCCTTTCACCATTTAGTGCGAGCGATACAGTACGAGAAAATGATTGTGCCTGACAGATATGTGCGTGCCTTCTTAGATCATTCAGAGGAAAAGTTGCTGTTGAAAGGCAAATAGTTTTTTCTTTCTCTTTGTTCGCTTAGTCTTATAGTAACGCCACAGGTCATTTAAAAACTGACAAAAAATCTGTAGTTGAGTCTGTAGTGTGATTTTATCTCCAAGTGAATTGTTATTGGCTGGCCCACCAGATTTCCGCTTGCCTACCCATGCTAGGATTTCTGGCTCCTCTTAATGCATCAGACCAAAGTTTCCTATCGGTGGGAAGCTATTAATGGAGACTTTCAGCAGAAGTATCTGTGTGCGATTGTACAATTTATAAATCAACTGAAAATTTACTCTACTTTCTAAAACAATAATTAGTAGTGGTATTATACTGTCTGAAAGCTTAAGAATGTCAGACAAAGATTATGCCTCATTAGCAAGTCACTGGTCTCTGCTACTTTATTCACGATCCCATCAATGTTCAAAGACATAAGAATATCTTTCTTTGTAGACACCACTATGAAAACCTGCAAGTGTCCTTGGATACGAGCGTTTTCCAAGTCTGTTTTTGGCAGCTGTTTACCGAGCCACATTAACAGCGTTATCATGTGAATCACGGCACATCAATGTCAGCTTTGCAATGCGGTGTCTGCGTAGCGCTAATCTCACTATATTTTTATTTGTTCATTTAGGAACAGCTTGTCCATTATGCTAGAAGCCCAGTGCGTTTTAGGCTATACGGAATACTGTAGGGCCAATCACGTGTGCTAGCTTGCTGGTTATTTCCATCTCACCTACTTCTATTAAAGTCATGACACAAGGCAGTCTTGTTAAGTTAACAGGCTACAACTTTTTTTTCTTTACCCTTGTTTTCTTAGCACCGCCATCTTTTTTCAGTTTGCCATCCATTGCAAAATTGAGTTTGGTTTCATGCAAAAAAAAAAATTTAATTTCAGGAGGGGCTGTCATCACTCCTCTGAAATGGATACATGCATGCAAAGCAGGGTCGTACCACTTGGGGAGGGGCCGTCTTTTCAGTGATATAAAACATGCACGTGCATTTATGTATGAGAATTTGACTTTGGGTATGCACTGCAGCTCGACCGGGTTGGAAACATCACCCACTGACCGGGACATTTTCTAGTTCTCACTAAGGCCACGCCTCCCCTGACTTTCATTATGTGTGTTACTGCAGTTTCTCTCTTGTCCTAAGTACGCTCATGCTTTAGGTACCATGGCATCTGAAGCACTAGGCCTTCCCCATGACGACCTCAGGAGAAATGAAAGACGAGCAAAAGCCGGAAGCGGACACGGGCCCACAGTCCCAGCTGGTGCGGGACATTCAGGGGCTGACGGCATCTGGGCACGACTCCTTGGTTCAGAGAAATTGTGTGAAAGCAATTGACTGCTTTAAGAAGGCCTTCAAAGCTTCGCTGGCAGTGAGTCTCCATCTGTTTGGTTCTTTTCCTGCTTCCTGCCTGTCATTCGCTCTCTCTCTTTCTTTGTCTTTCTTTCTCCCTATCTCTTTCTATCTACCTCTCCCTCTCTCTCCTCTCTCTCTCTCTCTCTCTCTCTCTCTTACTGTCTGGCTATCTGTCTGTGTGTGTGTGTCTCTATCCCTGTCTGTTTGTCTCTCTCTCCCTCTCTTTTTCTGTCTGTCTGTGTGTGTGTCTCTCTCTCTCTCTCTCTCTCTCTCTCTCGTCTAGTACAAGGTCATGGGAAGCCTGGAGTCTATCCCAAGCAGGACAGCCCACAAATCAGAATTAGATTAAGTGTTTATATATGTGTGTCTGAGGTTAGTAAGGTATGCTGCTAATGACATTGCATAACTACAGTAGATGCCTGCAGGCCTATGAACATACATAAAGCTATCCTGACTGTCTAATGCATTTTCCATGTGGAGCAGATTCCTCGTGCTGCCCTGTAATGTTGGGTTATGCAGTGCATGCAATCTGTACTTTCTTTTATTGCATCATTTTACTTGAGGGCACTTCAGCCTGAAGAGTAGTAATTCATCATTTTAGAGATGGAGTGAGTTGTTGTTATATATATGAACCCTAATTAAGACAGACTCCATTTACTCTCAATTTATCCACCCATCTTGCAAAAACTTTTGTGTTGGAGGAGGCAGTCTTGAGCCTATTCCAGGAGGCACAGGAACAGACTGGTTGGGATTCTGTCTCATCACAGGTCACACACAAATAATCAAAAGCTGTTGGCACATTAGAGACACCAGTTCTCCTAATGGCATTTTTAGCCTGGGGGAGGTAATGCCCACAATATAAGGACAATGTACAAATTCCACACACAGACCTAGAACCAGAGGTGGACACTTCGGGTCCAGAATGTAAAAATCCAGACCAAGATTTTGTTTCAGCCAACCAGTTCAGTACTCTGAGACTGTGACTCTTTATGGACTGGTTGGTTGAAACAAAATATTGTTCTGGATTTTTACTGTCTGGACCTGAAATGTCCATTTCTGCCCTGGACCCAGGGAATTCTGTCTCCATCCCTGGAGGTGTGAAGACCCGCTGTGTCACCCTATTCTGCTTCCTGTCGTCCTCAGCTGAAAGACTCCCGAGTACAGCGAGCTTGTGCTTTCAACCTGGGCGCAGCCTACGTGGAATCAGGCAAGCCCCAGAAGGGCCTGGACTACCTGAGGCGTGCCCAGCCTGGTGAGGGGGGCGAACGGATAGCAGACCTCCAGTTCAACCTGGGCGCCGCCCACGAGGGCTTGGAAGACCCAGGCAGGGCAGCCAAACACTATCTGAAGGCTGCTCAGCTTTACCGCTCCCAGGGAGAAGGGGGCAGCGAAGGGGATGCCTGTATGAAGCTCGGCCATTGCTACCTCCTCGTCCAGGTCAGCCCCCTCCCCCAAATAATATGCATAATATGCTTTTGATGACAGTGTAGTTTTTGGTAAACTAAAGTACTCATGTTCATCGATCAATCGGGTACGTGTGCTATATATAAATAAATTTGACCTTGACCCTTGACCCTTGACTTATGTCCAGGTCACTTTCCCTAGATGAGGATGTAAGTCAATCTGGACGAATCTCGATCATTATAGGGGAGCAATCAGATAAACCGTACAACATAAGCAAAGGTGGACAGTTCAGGACCAGGAAGTAGAAATCCAGTCCAAGATTTTGTTTCAACCGACCAGTTGAGTATACAGTGACTCTTTATACTCAACTGGTTGGTTGAAACAAAATTCTTGCTGCATACCGCACACGTGGCAAAATATGTTTGCTAACGTCCACTACATCTGCTTTGGACATCTCTACATAAATTTTATTAAGGCTCTTATGAGACCTTGAACAAAAGTACAGTTGGATGTTGCTCAATAGGACATAAGTCCATGGATGACAGTGTTGAGGTATAGTAATGGCCAGTATATATATATCTCCCTTGACTCGGATTTTAGCAAAGAGGCCTACTTCCATATGCCAGTGTTCAACACGCTGTGCTCTAGGCAAGGTTTTATCAAAATTGCTCACACTGCATTTCAAAGTCTCTGTTTCTTGTATCTTCTAGAAACAGCTAAGCAAATTTATGCTAATGTAGTGCTTAGCGACTTACGAAATTTGTACGTATGGAACTATAATGATATCCGGCTATGAACCCAGGGGTGCCCTGAAATGGTACCTCCAAAGGCTTGTTGAAGACATCATTCATATGCATCTGAACCCTGGAAATACATATAGTTTAATTAAATCATAGCAACTGACTGGCAATGGTAGTCCCTAGAACTGAAAGATTCTGGAAAAAATTCACATTGCAATATTTAAAATTTTTACAATAAATATGACCATATTTATAAAACAAAAATCAAAAAACAAAAATATCTAGCATTAGCCACATTATTTCAAAGACTATCATGACCCTATCATGTCTGTAGAATTCAAAATATTTACGTACAGCAGAACAGCAGAAGATGTCAGAAATACAAAGCGCTGTATGTAAATGAGTCCAGCAGCGTAGAATGATGATGATCGGCATGCAGAGCTCGTGCAAAAGCAGCGACGTAAACTCTAGATTGACATTCTGCACATGTACTAGATAATGGGGGGCAGCGTGTGGCTCGGGGGGAGGGCTAAGCCTCTGTGCCTGTGATTGGAAGGTCACCAGTTCAAGCCCAGCCTCAGCTCATCTGCGAGAGGCAGCAAGAGAATTTCCCCATGGGGATCAATAAAGTGCAATTATCATCGTTAGAAAACAAATTGCATGACCAGGGAACTGAAGATGCAACAAGATAACAGGATCAGTTAAGCAGCTATACTGTGGAATCACACAGCAGACAAAAGTGAGCTAGCAAGGACTTAAAAACGGTGCACAAAGAAAAATATGATCATTAGCAGCAGCTGTGAGTCGTCAGCCCACATGCTGTGGGGTAGGGTTAGGGGTCCCGACACAGCTCTGTGCCAGTTACACCTTCTGCTGACTTACAAAACTTTAGCCTTTTTTTCGGAAGACATATCTTTCATTTTTTTGCATTTTTATAATGCTGCTGTAGTGCGAATGATGCTATGGTGGCTCAGTGGATCACACTGCTGCCCCCAGGGACTGCAGTTTCGTCCCGTGGCCCATTAACGTGGCGAGCTGATATGGCATCTTGAGATACCCAATAGCGTGTGATTTTTTGCGCACGGTCCCCATAATAAACCACTTTTACTGTGCACCGCCTCTCCCATGTCGACAAATTTAGCCACCAGGAAATGGAAGGATGGATTGTAGGGGGAGGGAATTTATAACATTGTAACTCTAAGAAATTATGAAATTAAAATCTGGCCCACCCTGTACTTCAGGACTGGACGCAGGCAGCTGAGAGCTTCCAGCGAGCTGGGGAAGGCTACCGACTTGCAGGCCGGCCGGACGCAGCGGCTCCGGCTCTGAGGGAAGCCGCCGACACCATGCTCCGGGGTGACGCCTTCACCACCGATGACATCATCGGGACGCTCACCGAGTCGCTGGAACTGAGTGTTGGCGTTGGAGAAGAAGAGACACTGGGTGACTGGCGTTTATGCATGCATTCCCTCAGAATACCCTCTTTCTACAGTTTTTTTTTTTAAACAAAGTCGCTAGAGTCCACAGTGTAAAAAGTTAAGCTTTCTAAAGTTACTGTTCAGATGTATATAAAAGCTGGCCAATGTCACCCACTGTTTTAAATGATATTATTATATTATATTGTTACGAAATGTCATAATTGAATTTAAATATTAAATTAATATTGATTTTAAAAATGAAAATGAATACTTAGTAAAATAATAAAAAGGCAGCATAAAAAAACATTTTAATTGACACTGAGTCAAGTCCCTCAAAATACCATTTGCATTATGCAGATTGTGTTTCATAAAATGGCATCAGCAACAGTATTTCTCAACCCAGTCCTTGGGACCCCCTCACATTTTTGCTTCCTCTCATCTCCCAGTGCACTTGTACCAGGTATTCGGTGTTCCTTATTGGCTGGGAGCTGGGAGGGAGCAAAAACATGGACAGTCCGGGGTTCCCCCGAGGACTGGGTTGGGAAACACTGCCTTAGAGCATATAATGTCTATTGGTGGAATTGGCATAATGGGTAGCCCACAGTGGGTTCAAATCACGTGGGGGAGGGGGGTTGCAGGTTCTGTTTGCGTGGAGTTCCCTCCTACAGTACAGAAACCTGTGGTGAGGGGAACAAGGTTCCCTAGATTGTCAATAGTGTGTCAGTGAGTGAGGGCCCTGCATGGCCTGACATTCTTTCCAGAGTGACCCCAACCTCATGCTTCCTGGCAGGGGGCTTGTGAAAACCACACAGACATCAAAAAAACACATACGCAGATTTTAATGTTCTACAGACTTACTAGTAACTGTTATACTGAAAGACAGTGTTATTTGTACAGGCAAAACTACAAACTGAGTGGGTCTGCCATCTACCTTGCTGGCTAACGTTAGCTAACTAACATCAACATAAGCAGACATGTGTGTGATATATTTGGACAGTTAATGCAGCATATGATTGTGGGAAAACACAGAAACAATTCAGTAGCCGCCTTATATTTGCGGTATCACATTTACTTGGCTAGCAATTGTAAACAGCTAAACATAGCTAGCCTTGTTTACGGTCGCTGAGATATTTGTCGTGAATGTCAATGTGACAACTTGATGTGGTGTAGACTTATCGGTAGAAGATGGGAACAAGTGTGTGTCACTACAGGCTGAAGTACTGGACGTGTTGAAAGGTTTGTAGGACTGTTTGTGGAAGTCTTACACTATTTAAACAAATATGAAACAGGGATTTTATTATAGATGTCTATTAATCATAGTCATTGCCTGATCAATATGTCTGGTGAATGTCTGGTCTCTTTCTGACATAACGTTTATTGACAGCATTTTCGGCCAATAGAAATAATCTTCTGGCATGCCTGCTCTATTGCATGCGTCACCTTTGGCTACTCTGTGCATGATACTCTGTCCTGCAGAGACTCGTGTCTCAATGGGAATTTTGAGGGATAAGGGGAGGGGATAACGGGATGTGATCTGTCGGACGAAGCTCACTCATTGGCCAGATTACCCTGACTGCAAGTTTACTCCAAGTTTAACGACACGTTATTCACAGTCAATGTAGGCACGTTATTGGTTGACTCAGGTAGACGGCCTCTTTTGTATGTTTCTGCTCTAAACATCAATCAGACTAATGAGGTTTAATCTACATTGAAACAACACTGCTTCCTGGGATAGATACCAGGTGTCATCTTGAATAAGCAGTTATAAAGAAGGGATGGATATAGTCTTAGTAAAATAATGCACTGAAATGCTGCCATAAAACCCACAATAACTACTTTACTGTTTCACTCATCTTGTAGCTCATCATTAAAATATTTGTCAATTAAAATAAGGCTGTGGCAGGTGGGAAAATAATTTTAGCCATTGTGACATTTTCAAAAGAATAAATTAAGATCAAAACCAGGGAGGCTGATTTAAGCAGTTTGTAAACCCAGCAGAAGTACCGTTGAAGCATTTAAGAACAAGTGTTAAATTTCATCTCGCTAAGCTGAGCTGAGGCACGGCGGCGAGAGCGAGAGCAGGACAGGACGATCACGTCTGCAGCCTGGGAGCGGGTCTTACCTCCTCGTCAGAACCCGAAGGTGCGATATAGCAATTTGCAAACTGGCAGGAACTTCAGAGGAGGCAAAAGAACATTGCCTCACGGATTGTCCTAAAAAAAAAAACAGCTTTTTTCAAGTGAACCTTACACAACATCACACTAGCTGAAAAACAAAATAGAGCCGATGTGGGTGGATTCTTTAAGACTGGCCTGTACCTAACTTAAAACCAAGAGGTGGAACCAATTAAGAATCAATTAACACATGAGATCATGGCAAGTGGGAGTCTTATAAATCTGTACTGGGATACAGTTTCTACTGCCTTAAGCAAGTTTCCCAGGTGTACATTAGGTGAGGTCACCTGGAAACAGAGAAAAAGCACACAAAGACTCAGAGTCCAAAATAATTCAAAATAATGTCAATCATAAAACCATTGTTTTTATTAAAAGAATGTGTTTGACTTCAGTTGTAGGAGTGTGTATGTACACATGCTTGCATGTCTTCATCTTTTTGAGTGTTTGCGTGACTTTAAAACTGAAAAATCTTGTCTGTTGTGATGAATATATGCATTGTATCTAAATGGCTTATCCTGCATAAATTTAAGGAAAAGCAGACTGAAAGTGTTGGTTTCAGTAGGATTACCTTTTATTGGGTTTTAGTATAAAAAAAACCCATAACTGAATGTCCAAAGTAGCTACTCCTTCAAGGTCATGCTGGACTACCCTTGAGCACTCTACTTAAGCTGACTTCCTCCTCTACTAGAATTAGATGTCTAAATGAGGAGAAAACATTGGATAAATGCTAAAAAAAAAGATTAAAATATGAATGTTTGTTTGTCCTGTAACAAGTATCTGTCTCTGACCTTCCTCTTGTACTGTAGGTAAGCTGTACAATGACTTAGGCCTGAACTTCACTCAGCTGAAGCTGTTCCCAGAAGCAGCAGAGTGTTTTAACAGGGCGCTACCGCTGGCCCAGGGCAGGCCTTGCAGGTTGGCTGCTGTGCTACAGAACCTTGGCGCCGTCCAAAACACACTGAGCCAGTACCAGCAGGCTCTCGAGTACCACCAGGAAGCTGCAGCCCTACATGGTGAGCCTGGTCACATGATGGTCACATGGTGGTCATGTGACAACAGCATGGGGAAGCACGGTCATGTCGTCTGGGGATGGAATTGCATTGGTCACGAAACAAGTTATTAACGGCCAGGTGGTATGGTAACTGCTTCAGAATGTAAAATGTATGCAGGCACACACACTGGGCTGTTCTGTTCAGTGTTAATGAACTGCGTTTGGTCAGTGTCCCTGATTGGTTTTCAGCAGGTTCTCTCTAGTGCTTATGTTATGTTTATGTCCAGAAATAAGCTTTTGAATGCAAAGGGAAAACTGGAAAAAAAAATTTTTTATTAAGCCATATAAGACAATCCTGGTGTTCACCAAACGATCATTGTGCCTTGCAAGAACAATCATTGTGCACTGGAGGAGTGTGGTTGTAATTGACTTTGCCTTCTCTCTCCCTGTTAGGATCCCTGGGCAGCCGCAGTGCTCAGGGTCAGTGCTTCAGTAACCTGGCGTTTGCCCTCAGTCAGCTGGGGAAACTGGAGGAGGCGGCAGAGAACTACCTTCACGCCCTGCAGGCCTTCAAAGACACAGGTACAGTTGGCAGCGATTCGTGTCAGGCGTCACAGTGCTCTTATTTAATCCTATAGCCTACTCTGCGTATTTTTGGCTACATAACACTCAGCTCCCCTCAAAAATATCTCTGCATGGTGTCTGGTTCTATCCGTCTTCTATCTCTACCTGTATCTGCCGCTTTTCCCAATTCCCTCTATGTGCAGATGATCCCCAGGGCCAGTGGCAGGCCTGCGAGGGAATGGGGACAGTTTGGTCACACCTAGGAGACCCAGAGAGGGCCATACTGTACTATAAGCAGGCACTGGCGAAATGTAAGGTGAGAGTCCAACCAGCAGCACCAAGTCCAGCCAGTCTCCTAATGAACTGGGGCTCTGCAAGCACACAGGGCTCCGCTTCTCTCTGTCCAGTTCTCTCTGCTGTGGATTGTCAACCGGTGATTGTGATACTTTGTGACCAGTAGGTGTCACTTGTCTGACTGTGAACAGCCCCAGTCGTTCCTTCTCAGGCCAGGAACATGGCTGTAGATGAGCAGCACTGATTCATTTTTCCTCCTGCCCGCTGTCGGAAACCCGTCCCCATCCAGGACTGTCCCAGCTCGGTGCAGGAGCGCCTTGTGGATAAGCTGGCCAGCTCCATCCAGGACAGACTATCCCTGCAGAGCCAGATGACCTATGATAGGGGCCTCACCCCTGCTCAGCCTCAGGTAGACGGTCTCTTTTGTATGTTTCTGCTCTAAACATCAATCAGACTAATGAGGTTTAATCTACATTGAATTAATGTAAGTCCTACTAGACCAGGAACCTCCAACTCCAGTAGGTATTTACCGGAGAACAGGTGTGGCTCACCAGAAGCCAGGTAGGGTAGAACATCTACTGGACAGTATCTCTCCAGGAGCAGAGATGGAGACCTCTGTACTAGACAAACCACTGGATGTTATATGGGATCATGTGAGTCTACTTTGATGAGTTGGATTCCGATTAGCTTAGATGTTGACCACCTCTCTCATTTTCTGTAGCGAGTTCTCAGTGAGGAAAGGTCCATCCTACATCACGGCCCACAAGATAGGATCCTCCACAAGCAGCCGTCACTGAGGTGAGGGCCAGGTTCACGTCCACCTTCAGGTTCTGTAGGACCACACATTCGATCGCAGTCATTCCCAATGGCTTTGAAATGAAGCTTTTACCATTTCGCACGTCTATGTAGGACCACAGGTGTGACCTCTGCCAAGCAGTCAGAGCCCCATTGGTCAAGAAGAGACCTTCAAATTCACAGGCCGGAACTCCAGACTAGGAAAGAGATTCCCAACGGGTTCATGGTGAGGGACAATTCCCTGGGTAAGCACAGAGCTGGGACTGTCACACATGTGGCTTTGACTGGTCAGGATCTGCTCAGAAATGATGCCCTGGTTTGCTTTGCTTCTGTACCCAGGGGTGATACCCAACGGCACAGTCCCAGAGCGATGGCGGGATCAGCGGGTCCTGGGTGCCGCTCGGCAGGACTGGGATGGCAAAGCCCCTCCCCTGGCGACAGACCCGCGGGTTAGGGGGCCACATCCAGGGCTGCCCAAGGGTCACACGGCATTGCACGAGGCCAACAGGCAAGAACGTATACACATTTACACAAGAAAAACCTCATATCCATACTAACTCCATATAGGATATCCTGTAAACTGGAATGCAGTGGCAAGTGAATGGACAGATGAGGTAAACCCGCTGGGTGTTTTTACTGGGGGAGTTAGTCTTTTTTCATGAGTCCATGTTTTTATCTTTATTCATTCATTATTTCTATATCATTTAAATTTTTACCAGTATTGGAGTGGTCAAGTTGTCTGTAGGTGTAGTTGTTTGTGTGCCCTGTGATGGGTTGGTGCCCCATCCTGGATTATTCCCAGCCTTCTGCCAGTAGCCTCCAAGACTTCGGACCCGCATGACCCTACATAAGAGAAGTAGTGTGGAAAATGGATGGATGGATGGATGGATAGATTTTAGGGGGGCTGCTCATTCCAGTTTTTAGAGCCATTTCTGTTTATTTTTAGTTTTAGTATGGCCTGCATCTCTTAACTTGACATTACCGGCACCTGTTAATTTAACGCTACCCCGCAGACTCTCCTCCACCAAAACAAATTTTTCCCCTGTCTGGTCCCTCATTGCATGAGCACTGAGATGGCAATTAATCATGGTGAGGGAGTCCAGTGAAGTGATGAAACTCCTTCACTCAGCTTCTGTGTGTGTTACGGCAGAAGGATTGGGAACAGAATGGGGGGGGGGGGGGAGGTTCTGGTTGTGCTTTAAAAATCCACATCGCTTTGTTATTATTACATCTAGACATTTAAGCTGGTCCTTTGTCCTTGATTTTGTAGACGACTCTTTTCATAACGACACCAACACCAAGACTTTGCACTGCAGACCTCCAGGGCCGGCAGTTCTAAGCGCCCTCCCGCTCCTTCGCCCGTGGTGTTTGTACAGTTCTCCTCTGAGTATTATTTCCTTTCTGTCAGTCCATAACGATTAAAGCAAGTGCCTAGGTGACAGTGAGTGGTCCATGGGGTGAGAGTATTTGTGCGAATGTGCGGCCGGCGATGGGATCCCGCCCAGAGCTCGCACTTCATGCGATGGGCTACAGACCGTAACCCTGTACAGTCCGGCAACGCTTAAGGTCAGGGACACATTCTGAGAAGCGTGATTCTCTCGTTGTGTGAACATTATAGTGCATACTTACGCAAACATACATTATACAGCATACTTACGCAAACATACTTATACAGCATACTTACGCAAACATACATTATACAGCATACTTACGCAAACATACATTATACAGCATACTTACGCAAACATATATGCTTCCGCTTACTACACACCTAGGCTGAAGTATTTTTTTTAAGTAATGAGAGTACACTTTACAATTATAATAAAAAAGTACAGTATAGTAAATACATAAACCAGTAACAGCTGTTTATTATCATTATCAAGTATTATAAACTGTACATAATTGTACGTGTTGTACTTTTATATGATTGGCAGTGCAGTAGGTATGTTTATACAAGCAACAAATATGTGAGTAATACGTTACACTATGACAATACGACGGCTCTGACTAGGCAAAAATCATTTTTCAGCTCCATTATAATCTTATTTGACCACCGTCACGTATACAGGCTGTCATTGATTGAAATGTTATAATGTGGTGCATGACCTTACTGGATAAGGGATCATGGAAGGTGGATGACCACCAAAAAGTATTTTCTTTACCGATTTTAAAGCAGATTAAAGTTGTGCAGCTGGGCATTTTCCTGGGGCAGCACCTTGGCAATGTTGCGCTTACGCCACAGCCATGGGCACCCGGGGTCGCCTGGGATGTGCAGCGCTCACCAATTCAGCCGCTGCCCCCTTCAGCTGACCAGCTTCTACTCAGCACTATAAACAATTCAACGCTTTGCTGCTGCAGTTCTGGTTTAGGGCAATTTCTTCTGAGGTTTTTTTGTTTCCTTGTTTCCATGCCAGGAATCTAAACAACACCTATTTGAAGCCAGTATCCCGCTACCAAGGTCCAGAATACCCAGAGCCTAATGCCACCCAGCACAGTAAGTAGAGAAAGTATACAGTAGCAAAACATGCCCCCCTTTAATCAAAATATTTAATCGCTCAATGGAGGAAAGACCTACTATAAAGAGCAATTTTTCATCATGCAGGAAATGCTAGAATTTGACAAATAAGCGCAATTATCCTTCCACAGAATGGTATGTAATCATTAAACAATGTCATACTGTAGGTACACAGGCTTCCTATGTGTAAATATGCAGGAACATACCTAGAAATTCTGAGCTCCCTGACGAAATGTCACCTTGCCCCCCCACCCAGATTTACTTATAATTTTATCTATTCAAGGAGCTTAATCAGGTGCTGGCCCCCCTGATTCTGCTTGTGTATCCACGCCCCTTCGGCCGGCACCCCTGTAAATATACTATACACATATTTCAGAATATTTCTGTGGAAAAATATCGAGTTCCGCAGTTTATGGCTGGCTCTGCCCTCGATGTAAAGTGTGCTTAGGTTCTTTGGTCAAACCAATTTATCCAGTCAGTTTCAGCCTAAGGGAACCAGAACAAGGTCATACATGTAAGATCTGAATGGAACTCATACTATTTCGTGGGTGATTGATTGTGACTACAGCCGGCTTTTAAGAGGCTTGGAGCTTGAGTCGTTTAGCTGTTTGGGCCTGATGTCTTTGTGCATGTTTCATACCTTTCATTTCGCACTGATGGAGCAGTAATTGCTCAGCTGAGTTTTCTACTGAGAGAAAAAGGCTTCAGTTGAATCGTTCATATGAATTTTACATCTATCATGTTTTCTGCTTCTGTACAACTTCTAGGTGATTAGACTGTTTTAACACACACAAATGGTATGCACAAATGTTATATTGCAGTTTTTTTTTTTTGTCTCTTTGAACAGATGTTCAGGGTGAAGCTTTATACTGAACTATGTTTTGGTACAAGCTTTCCTGATAAAAACAGACTAACATTTAAGCATTTTGATAGTACTGTTATTTTCATTTCAAAAATACTTGAAATATGCTGCACATTTAAAATATATATGGAGACTAAGGCAGATAATTATTTATCAAACATTGAACAAATACGATGTGTGTTAAATTCACATATTTGCAACTCTGATCTATAACTTTTCATCCCAGGAGGGCACTTGTACAACCCTGTTGAGCTGAAAACAACAGAGGTGAACAGGTGAGGACCTTGTCTTATGATTGAAAACTTCTGGTACAGCAGTATACTGGGAATTCTGACTCACTGAAGTAATTCGCACATATCTGTTTAGAGATATAATTATATTTCATGTTCCTAATAAAGAACTGGTGTCTGTTTAGCAATACCTTCTTGGGGCGGAGTTCAGAAACACATGTCACTAAAAGCCTTGAAGAAGAGGAAACCACGCCCTTACACCGGAAGTGGAAGTCGCAAGTTTGTCTCGTCATGTGACTTTACCAAGACTGGACATTTCACATCAATGTGTGGATCGTGATGTTTCAGCTGAATGCACTAAAGTCACCTGTAAATATATCTTCTCAGAAGCTACTATTCTACTACTGCTCCACTAATACTGAACTGGAAAAAATATATTTCGGTTACAGTATTAATCATTTTCAGAACAAAAAGCTGTTCAGTTTGATAAAATAAATCTTGGTTTATTAAAATAATAACTACGAAAAATGCCTGCGTAGTCAGGTTTCTAGTTTGAGTCCTCAAAATAATTTTGCTACTGTACCTTTGAGAAAGGTTAAAAGATTTATAATGTCTTAAAGGATAAAATGTAAAAAAAAATGGCCTAAGTAATTTAGAAAATAAAAAAAAGCAATCATTTTAACAACAAAGTAAAAGAGCACAATGGATGGTGTAATTAAGCGAATATTGTTTAATGTTATTTCACAGTATGCTCCAATTCAATATTGTATATTATTTTAATTATTGTAGTAATTATTACCTATAGTTTACGTTTTAATTTTGTGTGATTCCGTATTAATATACATAATTTGTCAACAGCTTGTTTTAATGTTATTTTTTATCCCCAAATATAAAACACGTAGCCTAGGTGTCTGTATCGACACAGTCGCGGTCCAATTAATTAAATGAAAAATGCAGTTGCAAAGCTAAACTGGTAGGCTACCCATAACGGTCTATTGACACTGAGAAAGAAAAATGTCTTGATTGTCCCCATAAAATGACAACACTGTGGGTCGGGCGGTCTCTGTCATTCTATTTTGTTGTGCTGTCGACGCGACCCCGAAGTAAAGCTATAGCCTATGTATTATAACGGCAAGACTGCAAATATTGCTTAAGTATTTCAGAAAGAACGCAATGAAAAAAACATCTGTCGTATTACATTTACGATGTTAATGAAAAAGAAACGTGCCGCAGTACAGTTAGGAGCGCGTGTCTGGTACCGCAAAAAATGCGGTGAAAAATGTAAATCGGAGATTAGATTTCACCCTCCGCAGCCTCAAGGAAAGAGATTTTATTGGCTGCAGAAAGTGCTGAGGGGATGGGAGGGGAGAAAGGGCGACTGCTGAGATGAGCCATTATATCGCGATCAGATTCATTGGTGACATAGGTTCATCTGTCCGGGCCAGTGTACCTGCAGCCATGCCAGCTTCTCATGGTTAAAAACAATGGGTCGTCTATCATTTCTACACTATCGTGATCAGTCGTCCGATTTGTTGCGATTATTAATATTTCTTCGTGAATCTTTTTGTATCTGGAATACTTTGTTACTACCGGAGGAAACCAAACGACAGATTAATATATAAATATATTTAGTTTACATTCTGCTGTTGCACGTTTTTCACGTAAACAATGATAATAAAACGATTCTAAAATAAAGCGAAGAATTATAATGTAGAATCAGAATGAACTTGCAGCAAATAGACATGGTTTCAAACCTTCAGCACTTGGGAGTTCGGACAGCAATCTTGAAGACAGCTGGACCGGTGTTTTTTGTGCTAGCCTTTAAAATGCACTACTTTTGTGACCAGTTTATGAAACTACTACGCATTCTCGGTATATGAGCCTTATCGAATGCATCTTGTGAAAACGGAGTGGGGAAATTACGTGAAATTGAAATTGACGAATAACTGCAGTGGGGGAACGTTGGGAATTCAGGGGAGGCGATACTAAGTCAAGCCTAAACGACATGCTCAGCCTTAGAATGCAGAGTTACTGGGCTGGTACCCTGAGGAAATCTCAAGTGTCCGATGACAGAGAGAAGGAACAACTTCATGCGTTGGAGAAATAACCACAATCTACGTCTGCCTTTGGATCTAGATGCATCGTCAAGCTGCAAAATATTAATGCAAGGTAAGAAAAATTATACATATTATATTTCCTAAACCGGGACTATTAGTTTTTTTCACCGTGGCTTAAAAAGTAGATGTGTTTAAGAAAGTACAAAGTAAAATAAAACCCATATCCAAATTGCAAAGGATGCAAAGGTCTTGACGGCAGGTATAAAGCGAAACTACGAAAAACTTGTTTATTACACACGGGCATTTACATTTTTGTAGTTAAAGATTTCTGAACGGTATTTTCTGAAACACAGAAGTTCTGATTTTTTTTTGCGGCGGCTGGTGGCGAGACCCATTAACTCCTGTTTGACTCAGACCCTTGATACGTGCAGCTGTTTGCAACTGACGTCAAACGCCTCCGGAAAACACCGCTCTAAACGTTACTTTCTCTGAGCAGTTTTTGAATTGGATTATGCGGTTTGATACATGCCTATAGCATTCAGTAATATTGCTGCAAAGTTGTTTCCGCGCTGTAGAGCCATCCATTTCTTTATTGTCAAGCAGGAGTAACGGATGCATATAATAATAGTTTATATTTTCTTTCCCTCCCCCCCTCCAAGAGCAAACAGGGACCATGGCATAGCTGCAGAACGTTAGCGTGATCTTGGTACGGAAGTGGATTTCCATGTCTCCCCTTATATTTAATATATTTAAATATTGATTAAACGTCTTTAATATCTTTAATTATGTAATATTTTTTTTATCGCTCCTGTTGTTATCGTTGTGTTGTTTATCAGACGTCACACAATAGCTGTATCGTTTCTTGGATCAAACATATTTCATCCAAAACAATGGAACAGCCCAACCAAAATTATATATATACACATTGTGTCTCAGTGGTGTATTGGAGTGTGACACAAAGTAAAGTGAAAACAGAAAACGGCCATTGGAAGACTTTTTTTGACACTGTGTCCTATGTCTTTATGTGATACGTACAATTACAGAAGCTAGCCCATGCTTTCCCTTGCCCATTCCTCTGCAATGCCTCATTATTTATTGATGGCTAAGTATTATAACATTGGGGGGGGGGGCACACTGTAGCGGATGGGCATGGAAGGCCTATTATTTCAGTGTTGTTTATGCTGTACAGTATATCTCACACGGTTGCCTGCTGTTAGGAAAAGACCTGCAGTATATCCAGCGGTGATAGGATAGAATCAGGCTTTGAAACTGAGGGTGGGTATAATGATCTGCTATTTCCTTTGTCCCAATGGGGTCTAACAGGGTAAATAATGGAGTATGTGAGTCATACTAACGAGTTGGCACTTGACAGTGCAGAATATTCCATCAATAGGAGTGTTAGATTTCGCATACGTTTGCAGGCATCGCTGTGTGGTATTTGTAGGTGAACGTCACGTACAGCAACAAATGTGGGAAAGCATCAGATACCGTCTGCTCTGCTGTCAGTTCCCCACCACAGCGTCAGCACTAAAGAGAGACCAAGAGGTCGCAGACAGAAATGATCTGGGACCAGTTTAGAACAAATTAGCATTTCTTTTCACAATGCCTTGAATGAGGTTTTTGAGAGTACAGGGGTGGCTCAGTCTGAAAGTGTTCCGGTATCACACCTATGTCTGAGTATACTGGATGGCTTCCTGTCCTTGGATATTTTCTGTCACATCACAGAAGTCCTGGGGCACAAACTGTCTCTAGCGTCAATCATCCATCCATCCATCTGTTTTCTACACACACTTTCTCCTATGCGGGATCGTGGGAGTGTCAATCACGTTAAGAAGCTTGAAAAAGCAGGATGTCTCCAGTCCTTGAATACTTTACGAGGGAGCTTCATTACGTATCCATCCTCATTTTCCAGTTTGTAGGGAAACAACACAGTGTCCCGGCTATGAAGGAAACGGTCTGTTCCTCATTAGTAACAGGATTTGGTTCACAAGGTGAATCTTCGCGTTATTGTAGTTTACTGTAGTACATGGCGAAAATGCAGCAAGCATTTTGTTGAATGCATCACCATACGCATTAAGCCAGCAAACTCCCAAGGCGAACAGGTACTTTCTTCCTTTTTCCCCATTGAAATGACACTGTCGCTCTGTGGGTGAACAGCCCCCACACCGGGATCCATCAGGGACCACGCAGCTCGTCTCTAAGCGCCGTTTATACAGCACCGCTGCGGTGGATGTACATAGAAATGTCTTTAATGTCAAGGCCAAAGGCTTTTTCTATGATTGCAGTGTATTGTAGGTACTGAAATCAGGCCTATTCATTGTGAAGGGAAAGAACAACGTTAAACGTTTGCGGTAAAAGAAACTTTCCAGTTGATGTTGATCTAAGGAATGAAAGTCAGCATTCAATACATAATAATGAAGGGATATTAAAGAATAGAGATGGTTACTTGGTGAAATTCTGTTGAGGAATTGCATTTTCGTTTACAAATTTATTTTTGCTCATATTATAAGGGTGCCACCTCCCAGGAAAGCACCTCTGAGCGAGCCCCACTGGGGATGGGGTTTGGGGAAGACCCAGGACACGCTGGAGGTATTAGATCTCCCAGCTGGTGTAGAAACACCTGGGGTTAGCTCAGACTGAGCTGGAGTCTGTGGCCATGACCAGGAAAGTCTGATCTGAGCTGCTCAGCGTGCTGCCACTCGCGTAGTGAGAAGATGAGATGGAGTATTTACTAGCCACCAGGAACCTGCACTAGACTAGGAGTTATGGAAGAAGGGTGTATGTATGGCTGTATTTGCAAACCTGTAGATTATGCCGTAAAACGCTGACCTTTGCTGTAGATGTGTGTAAACCCAATTTTCAACGCACTCTACAGGATGCAGAAGAACTTTTCCCACTTGATGCCAATGGAGCTGCATGCATCACCAAACTCCTCCAACAGTTCTAACCCCACGCCAATGGGCAAATGGGAGGCGCCAACCTTCACACGGGCAGCCCTGTTCCGGGTGGGAGCCACATCGGTGCTCTTCCTGTTTGCCGCCGCCAGTAACTTGGCCGTGCTGGTGAGCGTGGTTCGGGGCCGAGGCCGGAGACTGGCAGCTCACCTGCGGCCGCTCATCATGAGCCTGGCGGTGGCCGACTTGATGATGACCTTCATCGTCATGCCCCTGGATATGGTGTGGAACATCACGGTGCAGTGGTACGCCGGCGATGCCATGTGCAAGCTGCTCTGCTTCCTCAAGCTCTTCGCCATGCACTCGTCCGCCTTCATCCTGGTGGTCATCAGCCTGGACCGGCACCATGCTATCCTGCACCCGCTTGACTCTGTCGACGCTAAACGCAGGAACAAGAAAATGCTGATGCTGGCCTGGTCCCTCAGCCTGCTCCTGGCATCCCCACAGGTGAGTAGGAGGCTACACAAAATGAAATCTCTGTCATGGATGTGGTGCTCCTTCCAACAGTGCTGAAAGCACAAAATAGGAAGTTCTCAATGTTTTTGCCATCTTTCTGGGGATAAGAGCAGACGTTATCGTTTTATGGATCCGTGTTCTGATGCTCCTATGAAACTACTAATAATGACTTTTAAATTGTAGGTTATATGGCTTGTTAGCTACAATCACTATAGCTAGCTATTAAATTTGTTTTTAACTAACTACTCTCATATAGTAATCAACAGGAATCAAGACAATTACTGTGACAATCATAAGTGCGCCATATATCGTTGTCTCCAAATTAGCCACTTTGTCAAAGAATTTCTGTGAGTCTCTTAGCAACCTGAAAGTGACAAATCTGGTGCATATCTAAGGTGTGTTTATGACGCATTTCTGCTCAGTTTGTTTTGTCTATTTAACACTGCCAGCAAGCTTCCATTATCGCAAATAGCCGAGAATGTCCCCCGTGAAAAACAACAGCATTCACCATGCAGCGTGATGAATGCATCACATATTTCATTCTGATTTCGTGTTTCTGGCAGAGGCACGAGTGCACCATTGGGAATGCTGCACACACACACGCATTTCTTTGTGTCTTTTACATGCATGTTTTTTTTTGTAGAGTGGCTCTCTAAACAGGAACTGTTTACGGAGTCAAAATTGGTCAAAGCTGTGGAGGGGAGCGTAGCTGAAGTCCGGAAGGTGCTTTTGACTTAAGGCGACAGACACGTTGATTCTATCTTGAAAAGGCCACAGTGGCCCTTCCTTGCAGCATTACAGAAATACACTCGATTGGTCCCATTCCCAATTACCTGCCTGTTACACTGACAGGGGCTGAGATATCCTATCTCTGCTAGTCCTGGGAGCCCTGACAGGGTGTATGGGAGCCGTAAAGGGCCTCACACAGCCGGTGTCGCAAATTCAGACACATATTGTTTCCAGACACTGCAAGCCATCTCCCTTCTGTAAGAGGTGCATCTTCAGAAAGTCGTGGGTCCTATATTTAAAACCATGAGACACTGTAACTCTGGGTAATGATGTGTCCAGAAAAAAAAGCTTCCAGACTGAAGTAATGTTCTTACTCATCAAAGTTTATAGCTTAGACTAACAGAATTATTCAGGTATGGGATGGTCTGGATAGCAGAGGAAATTAGGCAGCGCTTCAAACAGATGATTAATGATTCAGAGGAAGCAAATCTGTCTCCAGGTCAGTGGTATTGTGGGAACATCTGTGTACTGAGTGACTCTCTGGGAATAGTGCTTAAGGAATGTCCACTGTTATTTGGCGCCCAGCTTTGAAGAATTCATAAAGCAGCAAATCACACTGCTTTATATGATTACCATGGTAACCAGGCTAAGGAGTAGATAAGGGGTAAGGTATAATGACATCACTGTTCCTGCATTTGAGTCTCAGGTGTGGTCCACATTCAGATAGAAGCACAATTTAACTGGGACTATGAGATCAAGCCCCCCCCACTCCCCGCCCCCGTTCGACAAACCCACCCCCAAGTCGGTGAAATCTACCAAGGGGCACCCCCCGCCCCCCAAGTCGGTGAAATCTATCAAGAGGGACTCTAGCCGGATAATTTTATCGGGGGTGGTAGACCTTGGCTTTGTGTCGCTGATGGAATTGGGCCCACAGGAAAAAATAATTGAGTATCCCTGGAATGGATTGCCCAATGTCAATGAACTGGCAGTTTTATAGCTGCTTAAGGCTGGTATCAAAGGAGCACATCATGACTTGAAATTCTGTTAAGATTTGTACTCAATATTGAGCAGTGTTCATATGATTAATCTATGAATTAATACTCAGTAGTGGTGAAGGTTAGATTGTGGGTGGGCAAATTTAGGTGACAAATTCATTCAATCAGTTACTTAGGGAGTGCCTAAGTAACGTATTTAAACTTATCAAACTAAATACAGCATTTCTGTATTTTTTCCCCATGAAAAACAGCTCTTTATCTTCAGGGCAATCAAGGCTGAGGGTGTAGACTTCACTCAGTGCATCACCCATGGTAGCTTCCGGCAACGCTGGCATGAGACCGTCTACAACATGTTTCATTTCGTCACGCTCTACGTCATCCCCCTGCTGGTCATGACCTGCTGCTACATCCGAATCCTGGTTGAGATCAACAGACAGATCCACAAGCGCAAAGGTGCACATTCTATCAATCACCTACACCTACACTACTACTTACTTGCTTGATTGCCTGCATTTGCTCTATGTTCATTGTCTTTGCACAAGATGTAAATGCACATTTTTATTAATTAGTAGAGAGAAGGAACTGAGATTTCTAAAGTTGCAAGGCACAAGCAGGTGTCTCCGATAATCATCTGCTAATTGTCGTAATGATGTTGACTTGGTAACCACTGAAAATTATATGTTACTTTTTATGGTTAAAGACTAGTATCATATCTGCATGATGTATATTTGAAGCATATGTGCTTTTACCTTCTAAGAACTAATATTCAACATATTCAACTCTCTCCAGATAGAGAATTGCACTTAAGATGTAGTGGAACAGATATGATCCCCAAAGCACGCATGAAGACCCTGAAGATGACCATCATCATTGTTTTATCTTTTGTGGTGTGCTGGACGCCCTATTATCTTCTGGGAATTTGGTACTGGTTCCAGCCGCAGATGCTGCAGGTGACGCCTGAGTATGTCCACCACATCCTCTTTGTGTTTGGCAACCTCAACACATGCTGTGATCCCGTCATCTACGGATTCTATACCCCGTCTTTCCGTGCTGACCTTGCTGGCTACTGGTGCTGCCGATCCCGCGACTCCTCTCCCAGGTCCTTGGACCGCCTTTCTGGCCGACCAAGACACCACAGTGTTGGGCCGGACTCTGATGCCCTCAGTGGGGACCAGCAGAGAGGCACAGAAGGATAGAGACCCAGATATTATCTCAGCCTCCTTACTAAAACCATGATTTAGGCTTCCATGTGGAGCCCTACAGTATTCTCCAAACTCCACACTTGCAGTTTAGTAACCAAAAAAAAAAGAACCAAACTCTTTATCAGGGGAGATTCTAGGATTTTTAAGGTGAGGAGCATAAGAGGAATCATAATTCATACAGAGGGGCCAACCTTATTATTAGCCAATCATATGTTTTGCATCAGTGATTCACAGGGGAGGGGGCCAGTCAGCATTCAGCTAGGACCAGTGCCCTTGTGGCCCTGCCCTTGTATAGAGCTTGGGCCCCCGTGTTGCATTGTGGGATTAATCTGCCATGCTGGTTGGATACCTCTCGTTATCCAGGTAGCGGTGCATTGGTTGTGTTTGTAGCTCTGTTCAGTTTTATTCACTAAAAACGCGAAACTATGCGACATTGTTGTGTAGTCGGCTGCAAGTTGTAAGAGGGCTGTAGTATTTTGAGGCGATTACATTATTTTGCATACTAAAGCTTTCTAAAAAATAAAAAAAACTGCCCATTACTTAAATACTTCTAACATGTCCTATCTATCTACATACCACTTATAGTGATCACGTCTGTCTGGATGAAATTGATCGCTATAAGCGGATGATCATCATAACTGATTTTTTTCTTCTTCTTTATGTCTCAGGCAGATTACCATCTAATTGCCATTTGTATATTCATTGCATTAATATAAGGTAATAAAACGGACAGTGTCGCGATTTAGTCATTTTTATTGACGATTTCAAAATACAGTACAGCTGTTTCAAACGCTTTTCAAGGTACAGTACTGTACAAATTAAATTACTAAATTCAAATACGCTATAATACAGTATCGTACATAATATTCAATTCAATTTTATTTATACCATGAATTTTCACAACGTTACATTGTATCAAATCGCTTATTGTAGTTTCGCTGCTGCATCTCGGTGGCTCGTTTTGGAAATTTTATCATAAGCTGTGATGAATCTGTATTTGTCATTGAAAGAAAATGGCTTTCTTTTTCCAGTCATGTTTTCTGTGCACGCAGCATTAGTAAGACGATCAAAGTAAAGTTAAGTAAATAAATAAATACCGTAGTTTCAATTTATTCCATATGTTTGTCATGTTTAAAAAGACCCTAAATTAACACTACAAGCGGACTACTTGATTAATGTAAGTGAATTATTTAAACAGTATTTGTGCAGGAATGATTCTTGATCTTTCTTGAGTTTTTTGATCCATATACTGTAAGCGGTTGATCACCATATACATTATCGCTTATGTGATCAGTACATAAGCGGTTTCCAGTGTAATTAGTACATCAACTGGATATTTATTGGCTGCTCTGAATTCAAAGTGAAATTTTTGATCAGCAATTAAAATACTAGTAGCATCACCAACCATAGAAAGCTCTTGGAGTCTACTTTATTGATATAGACAAATCATCAGTGTCACAATCAGTCCATGGGAACACATGCAGTGTCGATCCAAAATTTATTTATAACTGCCCCAGACCAGTGTGCGAAATACGGCGGGGTCCGGGGTGGTCCGACACCCCCGATTAACCCATGAGACCCCCTGAAAGCCTCAAAAGCAAAATTTTAAGGGGGTCTCAAAATCGGTATTGTGCAACAGTAGGGAGATGGGGACCCCCTCGAATATTGACGGGTATTTCGCACACTGCCCCAGACGTTACCCCCGCCTGAGCAGCTCGTAGGGGTGGAGGTGCTTTATGTTTTCCTCATACTGATTCCTCTTTTATCTCGGTATGGCCATTTCTCTCCGGCGCATTCTGTCAGCGCACTTTCTATGAATATTAATTATCACTAACATTAAATAAATAAATAATGACAACTATGGGATTACTGGTATATCGGTCGCTGTGTGGAGATAATTGAAAAATGTCCCCCCATAATGGCGGATGTACTCGTGATGACGTCACGTGCCTATTCCTATATTATATATCGTTGTTCTTAATGTTCTCAGAATTCTCTGAAATGACGACTTATGTGTTTCTTGTATAATTCTATCACTGGCCTGGCCCTTACTTTTTGAAATATGCTACAGCTAAATCAATCTTTTTTTTTTTCGTGTTCATTTCTAACAGTTGTTGTCTGTGAAAAGATCCCAGAAAAAATTAATCCTTGTGGAAATACACTTTGGTGAAAGTATACCAGCATGGAACTTGGCATATATATAAAGAATGTTCAGTATTGAGTATTTCAGTAATCCAAGTGTGTTGATCTGATTAGAAAAATCCAGAAACTCAAGTGTGTCAAATATCAAGTAAACACTAGCTTGTTTTAGCAATAAAATGCATGCTGTGTATATATAAACTGTACAGTTCCTTATGTGAATGTACTATTTCCAGAAAATAAGCTGCAGGTCTCGGATTCATTGACATAGTCATAGAATCACAATAGATTTTTTCAGCACAATGAAGTGGGATGTCTAGTTTGTCAACAAATAGCTGTGTGATCTTATCTAAATGTAAGAAGACAGCCTACATTGTTGTCTTGATTTGATTATCAGTGTGCGGTGTTTGTGGCACAGGGTAAAAACCCCATGTATTGTCTCCTGGAGACAGATTGGCCTTCTAACTGTGCTGTATGGTAAAAGTCCATACAGTGTCTGCTGCAAGTTGACGGTATTCAGTGTGATGTTTGTGGCTGATGTTCTTATGTTACTGGGATGGTGGCCTTTGAATTGCACTATAATTACACTGAAACAAACTTCTTTGTGGAGATGCGTGTAGGAGCTTGGCATGAAGAAGGAAAGTTCTGGATGAGCGTAATTAATTTACTTCATTTGGTCCCAACAATACCTCCTGCGGCAATCGATGAGCTGCCACTTGACACTTTCCTCTGTCACACTGTCCTCATTGACTTTCAGCCACTTCCTTTGACTAAGCAGCTACCCAGAAGCACCTCTAATACTCCCAGCTACTCCATCTGTTACTTCTATTGACTGCATCGATTCAATGTGAACAGTAAATGCTAGTTTGAAAAACAGTAGTTCCGGCACCATCTTTAACGTGCCGTGTCATTTACACATATCACTTCCTTTATGTGTTATTGACACATTGTTATATTTGGTTATAAGAGGAATGTGACATATTAGGTACGACGTGAGATTTGCTTGTTAGTAAATGTAAATGGTGGCGGGAGATACTATGTGCTTTAAATCAGAACAATCCTTACAAAGGGAAGATTAGGGAGATGAACAATGGAATTGTTTGTGTGAATAGCTAAGAATCCTGCCAACACTGAACACAATGAGAAAAGTCATTCTGAAATGGTCGTGTGAGCATTGACAAGGGCAGTAGGGAAATGGGGTCTTTTGGGGGTAACACTGTCCATTTTAGGAGAAACATAGTTGGTGGGAGTGGAACAAATAGCAAACATTTAAGTTTAAAAGAGAACCACCCATTTGGCCCAGCAGGGAAAACCAAATGGAGTAGGTAGGGAACAACTTTGGTAATGTTTCTTAGTGAATTTTTGGCCAAAGAAAAGAGCAAGTTATACAAAGTATATATGTGTTTTGTTTCTTATGTGAAGTTGATTGTACTCTGTGACTATTGCCTTCAATTAAACTAATTGGGAAAAAGCTATTACTGGTAAATATTCCAGTTGCCATAGCAATTCACAGCCACTATGTCTAACATAGATTATATGGTCATATAATTTTTAGCATGAAAAAAAAACTGTAATTTATGGAATTATATTTCTTTAAAGTTTATCTTTATATATTCTAATATATATTGGTTGTGTTTTAGAAGAAAAGTTGTTCAATAAAAGAATTATCAATAATTTGCTAAAATGACTTTTTTTGAGCTCAAATGTACCAATGTATTGACATGATTAACTCAAGCTACCATTTAAGGGTCTCATATACCAGTCCTGGTACATGTAGACATATATATGACGGGAAGCCTGTGGACTGTTTCCAGGTTCTACTCCAGTGCCTTTCGATGTCATGTGTGTCATTTTATCTATTGTGGCATTTTCATATTTACATTACATAACACAGTTACAATCCTCCGGAAATGTACTGTGTGTCATGGGCAATGTGATGGGTGAAATCTAGAGCATAAAAATAATAACAAAAATAACAAGAAGAATATATACAAATATAAAAATAAAGTATAAATATACCATAGGATTTTCTTCTGGTTATCTTCTATAGTAACTTTTGGGAAAACTTCTGTTGACTTCTCAGACTTTTTGTGTGTTTCATAGTTTAATTCAGTATAAAATTAGACTCTATGTCTGATACAGTCTACTGTCAATTGAATTGGTTTTCAGTAATGTTTGTAAAAAACATGGACAGAGACACAAAAATGTTCCAAGGGCAGTATGAAAAATGATTGGTTCAGTGAGATGACCAATCAGATTGTAGAGCAGGTGAGTCCAAGCAACTAGAGGAGGTAGGACCAAGATATCTGATTGGTTGGTCCCATCTCTTCTAGTTGCTTGGTCCTGCCTCCTCTACAATCTGATTGGTTATCTCTCTGAACCAATCATTTTTCCTTCTGCCCTCAGAACATTTTTGTGTATGTGAAACTCCCATTAGCACAGGCTTTTCCTCGACCTATTGTATCTGACCCAGGGGAAAAGGAGACATTCAAGAGGTGAGAAAAAGTAAAGGCCTTTATTTCATGATAGAACGAGAGGCCACTGGCTTGTTGGCATTACTCTAAGCCATTACGACAGCTCTATACTGTGAGAACAAATTTTGTTTCCCAAAAAATAGAGTGAAGAGGGACTGCAGAAGCAAACTGCACCAGTGCAAAGGCAATTTAAGAAGACGTTAGTGAATGACGGACAAAGCACAACAAAATGTACATGTTTTCTACAGGTGCTCTTTTACAACCATGGAGGTCAATTTAACCGATAACGGCATCCTATCCTCCTGCTATGCCGGCAGAGTTCAGGGTGAGTAGCATCGGCATCTGGAGAATGACAACAACACTGGAAGGTACAAATCAATGTGAATTCCTTTTCTTGGGAAATGAAATGGTGAAATGGTATAAAGAACTCTAACATGAAGGAACATGGAGAAATGTGGGAAACTGCAGCTCTGTTCGCCGGTATTTTACTTACATTTGACTGTTTCGGTAAAAGCAGCACATTGGACAGCTGTTTAAGACGCAATACCTTTTCAAATTGCACATCTA